TTTAACCACTAGGCTACCCGACCGCCCCTAAAAATTAAGGAGTAAGAATACTCCAAAACGTTGTATTCCTCATAATAAAGAATTGGCATCCATAAATTCTCTTCCTAATGGTGTAAAGTAATATACTTATGCCTCGTGTTATATACACTCATAAAAAGAAGTAAAAGAACACTTAATCACGTTTCTGTGACTATAGTAAATCTGTCATGGCTGGTGGGTATACCAACAGTCTTCCTAGGATTTAGTAGATAGGTTGGTGAGACAATGAGTGTCTTTTTATCATGAGATGTGCCAGATAAAACCCACACAATGATAGCCAGAGGCCATCCGGTTCTCTCTCACTTCACCCTACCACATGTGGCCTTCAGCTAAGGAGAAAAGTTGAGTTTGTTTTTCAAGGACAGTGTTTCAAGGTTTAATATCAACGGTATCAGGTGCGGTGAGGTGAAATTGGGTTTAACTTCGCGTCCAAGATTATTCCACTTACATAGTGACATGCATGCACGTGTGTGTGTGTGTGGCTGCTTGTACTAGTCTGGGCTGATGCCGATTTATAGTGCTAGCCCACTGAGATACCATGCCGCAGTTTAACATGAATACCCCACTCAGACACAGTATACTGACTCCGACCCGACCAGTCCTTGTTTTAGGCCCTTAATGCCGAGCGCCAGACAGGGTAACAACAAGTACCATCTATCAACGGTATCAGTGAGTGAGTGAGTTTGGTTTTATGCCGCTTTTAGCAATATTCCAGCAATATCACGGCGGGGGACACCAGAAATGGGCTTCACACATTGTACCCATGTCGGGAATCGAACCCGGGTCTTCGGTGTGACGAGCGAACGCTTTAACCACTAGGCTACCCGACCGCCCCATCAACGGTATCAAGAAAGTACACCTGACAATACAATATATAATTTGCATTCCCATGTATTGATTTATGTACTTCTACTAGATGACTCATGACATCCCTCTAATGATGATGTTGCAACGTGACACAGTGTTCCTGCTGGCTTTTGAAACTGCCAATCCTAGTGGACAGGCAACTCTAAAAATCCCCACTAATTTTTGTCAGTACCAACTTTCAACAAATAAAAAAATCGTATAAAAATTACCTGGTTTTAATTCCCTCAACATCATGTTCAATGCAATGACGTTGTCTCTGAAGTAACTTAGTTAGATCTACACGTCATTCACACAAAGTCCAGTCATGAATTGCTTTTTTTAATAAATATTTCAGGTGTAAGTTGCTAAAAATAAATATTTAACCTCGAAGCAAGGCAAAATGTTTTTTCCTTGCACTAAAATAGACAAAGGGAAACCCTGATGATGACAGACAAGCTGACATTGTTCGAAAAAATATACTTACATGAATATCGCCGATGTTTAGCTCAACAAAAGTTTGTAAGGTACTCAATTCGCTGGTCCACATAGACTGGAAGTCAAATGAATTACTGGTCATAGCCTAATTTTACCGGTAAAATACTGGTAATTACCGGTAAACGGGAACACTGTGACACTATAAATGTATTATGGTCAATGGGGTTTGATGGATTACCTATCTCAAGGAATCTTAAATATTTGGCTTCCAATTGTGTGTATGGTTCTACGTATTTTTAGTATTAGTCCAGCAATATCATCCCTTGAACACAAGAAATAGGCTTCACACATTGTACCCCCCACAAGGATCCGGGTTAGAATAGGCCTCCAGTAACCCATGCTTGTAAGCGGCAACTAACAGGATTGGGTGGTCAGGCTTGCTGACTTGGTTGATGCATGTCATCGTTTCCCAATTGCATGGACCGATGCTCATGACATCAATCACTGGATTGTCTGTTCCTTACTGCATTATTATTTACAGACCACCGTCATATAGCTGGAATATTGCTGAGTGTTGTTAAACAACAACCAAACAAATATAAACATATCAATGTTTGCAGCGTGCCAGTGATTGTGTGTTGAACTGTTCAAAGTTTTTTTGGTATATTTTAATCGTGCTTTACACAATAGGCGAACAGTCATGTTTTTGTCCACTAGCTGTGTCCCAGAATCCTCAATCATGTGTCAATAGTGACTGGAAATACAAAACACTGCCAAACTATTGTAGGCCATGGTGTCTTTTTGTAAAACTACTGCATCTGCCATTTTGGTTCACTGACAAGTAAACACAACCTCCATTGGTTATCTTCGCTTATAACTGATTGTCAATGCCTAATGGTGTGCGGTATATCGGTAAATTGAGGTTCATTCTTTCCACGATATATATCACAATATCATTTTTACATGCTTGATATATCGGGGGATGTCAAATGGCAATTTTTTTTTCTTGCCAAATGCCTTTGCTTCCCTGCATCATGCATCAGTGGCGGGGTGAAGGAGGAAAGATGGCTGTGTATTTATTGAATGAGTAAACATAGTGTTGTAGCAGCATCTTGTTTTGTTCCATTTGTGAACTTCAATTCATGATAATGTATCCGATTGCTTCTGAATTCAAAATTTATAATAATTCAACATATCGTGACACGTATCGCAATACGCCCTTGTGCATCACAAAATATTGTGACACACTTTCAACCTCCAATACCTATACAAATGCCCCATTCTTGTCTTCTTTTTTTTAACATGCATGATTAACTTGGGGAGCTTGGGGAGCTGTTTTGTAGGGGTGACTATTGGTCTGGAAATCACTATTGCGATAACTATTGATATTGAAAGAAACTATTGCGATAACTATTGATATTGCAAGCAACTATTGCGATAAATATCGATAGTTTTCAGTGTATCATTTTAGATGGATTTTAGAGTTGAATTAAATCTTGGAACTGAAGTTTCCTTTGAATGTGATAACCATAACAACAAATACAAAGTAAAGAGTAGTATAGGTACCTATACTACTTAAAGTTTGAGATATGAGTGATTTGTTTTTTCTTTACCCTAATAATTTAAGAAAAAGAAACTTCATGTGTAAATTACTACCACTCATGATCAAAAGAAAAACAAATTTGTAAAGCATTCCATGTATATTATTGATATATTTAATACAATCGAAACTATCGATTTTCCTAACTGAAATTGATACTATTGATCGGAAACTGATTTAACAATCGATTTATTGACTTTAAGCGCTTCCCAATAGCAATATATCGATATTTCGATTCATCGTGACACCCCTACTGTTTTGACTGGTATCATGACATGGTTCCTCCTGTGGAAGTAGAGCAGCTGAGAGCTGACGTGTGTGTTCTGGTTTTCTTAATCTCAGCCAGGTACACTTTATAACCTCAGGACTTAACCGTATTGGTCATTCCACCTTTATCGGATACGTTGTAGAGTTAAACGTGTCAGATTTCAGTTCAGAAAGGAATGAAAGAAGTTTATTCCACAGTATTTTAAACTTCAGAATGGAGTTGCTATGTATTATGGCGCAAGACGACCCCTTGTCTTATCATTGAAGTGGATAGTTTAATGCACAGACTAACTAACCTTTTCAGCGATAAGACTACAGACATGTGAATGCGTAACCTATTTAAAACATGGCAACATTCAGCTAAGCTGTGAGTCACTAACTTAATGCTTGTGAAGTGAGCCTTTTACACATTCAGATTGTTGTTTGTCAACATGGGTTTTGAATGCATGTCCTGGGGTAAGTATGTAATTCATACAGGACTAACTTAGATCTGCCCATGTTGAGCATTATGAGCAAATAGCCCTGATCAAGAACATGAAAACTCTTTTTTCTGTCCCTTATTTCCTTGAACAAAAATCTGCCTTTTCATACACACTGTAAACAATGCTTCCTACAAGGAAATCCACCATTCACTCGTACCTTGCCCCATATATACCCTTTAACAGTAGGATGTGAAGCTGTGGAAAGTGATCATTGCAGCTCTGATTTTACCGTTAAGCATTGTTACAATTGGTAAGACAAAAAATCTCTCTAAAAAGTTATTACTATCAGATGTCAAGTACATGAAGACTACAGGTGTTTATGAAGTGGTCGATGAGGACGTTTCAGAAGGAAGACAACACGTACAGCTAGATAAGCAGAAACTGTGTCACATGGTAAATATAGACTGGCCCAATACAGCAGGCTTAATGGATAATGTTGAAAAATACACAATTCTGATTGGTCAGAGGTTTCAAAGGTTTCAAATCACAATAACCACCTCTGACTGATAGTATGTTTAGCTCCAAGCTGGCTGACTCACTCATACACTCCCAATCTTGTGCTTTGACAATTGTTACTCCCATATTTAACAGATTTCATGGCACTGAGCTCGCTTTGCATATTTGTACACGAGTGACAAGTTGTGACATAAGGTGTGAGTTCGTGAGTGAGTGTGTCCATTCCCGAGTTTGTTTGTTGGTGAGTGAGTGAGTGAGTGAGTGAGTTCATTGAAGTGGATAGTTTAATGCACAGACTAACTAACCTTTTCAGCGATAAGACTACAGACATGTGAATGCGTAACCTATTTAAAACATGGCCAACATTCAGCTAAGCTGTGAGTCACTAACTTAATGCTTGTTAAGTGAGCCTTTCACACATTCAGATTGTTGTTTGTCAACATGGGTTTTGAATGCATGTCCTGGGGTAAGTATGTAATTCATACAGGACTAACTTAGATCACATGTAGATTAGACCTGCCCATGTTGAGCATTATGAGCAAATAGCCCTGATCAAGAACATGAAAGTGAGTGAGTGAGTGAGTGAGTGAGTGAGTGAGTGAGTGAGTGAGTGAGTGAGTGAGTGAGTGAGTGAGTGAGTGAGTGAGTGAGTGAGTGAGTGAGTGAGTGAGTGAGTGAGTGAGTGAGTGGATATGGATATGAGTACACACAATCCTCCCCATCACAGAGCCTGATCCTCACACTAGTCTGCTCCTATGATAAGCATGCTGTAGAGGGGGCCTGTCGTGAACCGGATTCCTCACAGGGGGCACACAGGATAGTACTTATTAATATCGATGAATTGTACCGGTATTCATAAATCAATGAGGACTCACTCTTCTAGTCTGTTGCCGAGGTTACTGGAAGCATCCTGCTCGACCACATTGTACATATCTTCTGTCTCCAGCTGACGAGAGTATCCTGTTTTTAATAATGGATTCAGCCACCTGTAAATTGTCAAGAAATGTCAAGTGAAAAAATATAAGGTATTATCATTTTGATAAGAGAAAAATGGGATTATACTTTTATATATATATATATATGCCAGTAAAAGATACCTTAAGATTAGGGCTGGGAGTAGACTAATATATAGTCTCTGAAATGAACATATCGTACAGAAAAAACAGTTGTTCAGTTATCTTAGTAAAAATATAATAAAAAGGGAGCCCACTGATTCTCTTCATTTTCAGACTGCAGTAATCTAGACTTGCCAAACATTATAGACTTGCATGGGCTGTAGTTGATATATTTGTATCAGGGTCTGTATGACAGACTAGGCTGGGATGGGCCACTCGGGTACACGGGTCGGGTGGCTGCTGAGTAGGGTCCGGGTACCCAAAGTTCTACCCGGACCCATGTTTAATCACGTGACATATTGTTTAATTACAAAAATTATCTAAAACTCTATGGTTACAATACAAGTCACTAATGTTCCCATTTCTTTCTGACAATGCACACATTCCTTCTGACTTTTATATGTTTGAACAAGTTCTGAGTTCAATTTGGGTTTCATCAATTGGATAAACATTTGTTCTTTTTCCAATCTCTGCTGCTTGTTACTGGTACACTAAATTTCCTGTTTCTGCAATCATCGATGTGTTTGCTTACACTTAAAGCATCGAACATAAGGGTTCATATCATATCATATAAACACATCTGCGAAACTTGGAAGCGATTCTTAGACAATTGTTTTTTTAGTTTGGCTCTCAACTCATGAAAATTTAGACACTTTTCTGGATATTATTATTATGAATATAAGTTTGATGATTTATGCATATTCATGGCATTACTTTAATTGAAACATGAGATGTTTATCATGTTAACAGAGCTCCAGATAAGCTTTTGGTGTTGTGGGTATTTTACCCATGCATTATAAAATCATTGGGTATCAGTAATTCTATCTGGATATTCAAATTTCTGTTACCCACTAGTTTTAACACATGTGGGTATTTAAGTTAATTATTTAAAAACACTATTCATCTAGTCCCTGCAAACTGGTGTCGTGTGGGTTCGAGAGCTTTATAGGCCTCAAAAATACCACGATACTTCCACAAGAAAGTGTGATGGCAAATGATCATGATGTAACTGTCATCGTGGAGTTTGGCAAGGGTGATGAAATGCCCGTTTAAAATTTCAAAATAAGTTGCTGATTTGCTAATCAAATACGCAGGGTTACTTCACAATATTTTGATGATACGCACAAGTTTTATTTTTGTAACGTATCTGTAATGTTCGTTGCGTATTTGATACACTTGGATTTTATTTTACTGCGTTTTTCTGCATTTCTGATGCGTATTTTACGCAGATACGCAGCTTATCTGGAGCTCTGGGTTAATAACTGGAATGATAGCAACAAATTATACAGCGTGCACTGATACATGTCATTGTCCTCCAACATACACAGTTAACCACTTAAGCAGCCACAATAAACAATATCAGTGTACAATGTGCATCTACAGTTACACCTTGTACACAGGGATCTCACTTGCCCAGCCATCTGAAGCCAGGGCAAAGTAGGGGTTGTACTCATGTTTCACTTACAGCGAATGAAGTAATGTTTGCCATTGTTACATAAACTAATCTTGAATGGTGAACGACACACTCAGCAATATTCAAGCTATATAAAATGGTCTGTAAGTAATCAAGTCTGGACCAGACGATCCAGTGGTTGCCATCATGAGCATCGATCCACGCAATTGGGATACGATGACATGCATCAACCAATTCAGCAAGCCTGACCACCCAATCCCATTAGTCACCTCTTACGACAAGCGGCTTTTACGGCAAGCATAGGTTGCTGCAGACCTATTCGGGATCGGGTGGTCAGCCTCGCTGACTTGGTTGATGCATGTCATTGTACCTCAATTGCGTGGACCGCTGCTCACGATGACAATCACTGGATCATCTGATCCAGATTCGATTATTTACAGACCGCCGTCATATAGCTGAGTGCAGCGTTAAACAACAAACAACCAACAAGGCTTAAGTAAACAATGCATGTACACATCCTTGACCATCAGCCCTGAACTTTCTCAAGGTAAAGTGATAGGGAATTAACATTTGCATATTTGAAATTTGTATGATTGCCAGCTGCCTATGTCCAGCTGTGTCCAGACAATGGACCATATTAAGAAGCATCTGCAAGATGTGCATCGGGCCTTGTGAAGCTGACCAGCTGTTGACATGGCAGGGCTAATATTCAAAAGGATTCACAAATATTCTATTATTACTAAGTCAAGTCATTTATTCCATATAAATGGTCATGAGGCCAAAAGTACAACATGTGTAAAATATGGGACAATATAATGATATTATTACTATTATCAAATTGATTATTATTTTACTCTATGAGATAAATCAGTGTTTGAAATAATAAAAAAACGCCAGGCTGCCATTAGGACCCACAAACATCAGAAGCTGCAGGCCCTGACTAAACTCTTCTAGTCCTCATCTAAATAATTGCAACTTATCTGCTTATTGTGACAAATAAATCGACATGTAAATTTACAGCTGGCCATAATGACCCATACAAATTTGAAACGACAGGGCCGATACAAGATCTACCTGCAACAAGCCTATGAGCTGGCACTGTATTTCAAACACTGGAATAAATCATTTTCTAAATCTATGAAAATCATTGTTTATAATCAGAAAATAATATTGTAGTGACATATTTTCTTTCTACTACATTAAATTCTTACTATTATTCTTTTGTATTTCATATTTATACAGAAAGGAATTTTACTTTTAATGGGTAGACATGAGGAAAATTTAGGCACTAGCCTTACTGAAAAACAATAATGATTTGGTGAATTTATTAGAATAGTGGATTTATTTAATAATAACAATTAGTGAGAGTTGCTTATGTTGTCACCAGCTTGGGGCATCCAGGCATGACGAAATAGCACATATTGGACTTTGTCAGCTGGCTCTCTAATATGGTGAATACTAATTAACATTTATTAGATCATCATAAAAATAAATCAGTACCAGATTGAAATGCTTGATATTACATTTCACCTGATAATTGAAACTACATTCTATTGAATGCAATTTAACACATAGACAAGGATTCGGCCTCAACTGTGAGTTTGTTTGTTATTATTAGTTACATGGTTCCAACTGACTGGAGATGATTAATGCTAACTGATATTAGAACATATAGTGTTTTTTTGTGTTTTTTAATCAACAACTCACATAATAAAAAAAAAAAACAGTAATCATGTGTGAAATTTGTTTAATTATGTTGCAAAAACAATTGTTAGCTGTGCAGGTCGGATATGAGTTATGATTCACAACAAGACCAATCTATGTCTCCTTTAAAACATTTCAAAGGCATATTTGTTTTCCTCTTATAAATAATTGCCAATAATTGTAATCACCAAAAGATAAGTATTGGCTAGTTCATGTTGTATGGAATTGAATTGATAAACTGACACTTGACGAAATAGATTCCCAACTTGAGAAAGTAGTATCATACCGCCACTGCTCTTTTCAGCGAACAGCTGATTGCACCACAATGGCAATTATATTCGGGTTACCGGGACATAAAGTATCTACTTACCAAAAAAACGTCCTTGACAAGAAGTTTGCAGATGCAATGGGATTCGGATTGTGATGTCTTAGTGTTTCATCCATGGCTGTTAAAAATTGTTAACCGTGTAGAAATATACTGTCAGCGGCTCATCAATGGTACTGAAATAGGACACACGTTACAAGCAAGTGGTCACACATGTATACTTCCTTTCGTAGATCTAAATACTCGGTAATTTCCGGCATCAATCCGGAAATATACGGGTAAACACGACTGGATATGCGCCGTAGACTGGTTTGCCTTGCTTGCGCGCATCTGCTAGGAGATGAAGAGCCGGGTACCAGTCTATTATACTCCGCTGTCTGTGCTCCGCTGTTTGGAGTTTTGCAAGCGCAACACGGAAAATATCGAGAGTGTCCGATTGCAATTAAGCTAAAGTCGATTCGAAGGTATCCAAGTTTTACAAATTGAAAATAACTAGGCCAAGAGGATTATTCCATTATAAATCTTGTGGAAAGTATCATTGTCAGAGCTCGAACTCTGAACAACTCAAGATAATATATTTAGTGAACTCTTAGACAGGGCTGTCGTGTAATAAAGCCTAATTAAGTTACTACTTTGGAAATCATGATGCGGTGAGGAGTTTCAACGACGGTGTAAAATGGCGCTTAATTCAACTTTTCTACTGTGAGACGAGGATAGTGTGTTGTAGGTTTGTTATTATAGTTTAGGAATGCACGTATTAACTACCGTACGTTTACATGTATATATCTAGCTAAGAAACCTTTTAGAATGTACGATCTATCAGTCTGTAAAACCTTCGAGTTACCGTTCTCAAGTAAGCAGCTCGACAGCTAGTATGCCTAATGAAAAATGGGGTTTACGATGTAAACAATCACACGTCTGATCATGGTATCCATCATTCTACGATATAGACACTTAGACTACATTTTACAAAATGCAAAATACCGTTATTGTATTGGCTTTGGATGTTGTGCTCCTTTTTAATTCGGGTTGAGATGGCATCGTCATTACGACAACTGGACTAGGCCTGGGCACCGTTCCACGAAGCGACTATCGTAAGCCAGTGTTAAGTATCGGATTTACGATCACCTTAGCGGTAAGATTGCTTTGTGGAACGGGGCCCTGTACTGGTCACTGGCCAGTTATGGTCATGTTATTACCATGATTACTGAAATATTCTGTGTACAAAGTTGACTTTGCAATTAACTGTGTTTTTTATGAAGCTATGAGCACATACGACTATTCCTGTGGAAAATGTTTCTCTAGATTTATGTTATGATGCGGCAATAGGGAATCAAAACAGTGGAAATAGAGGTTTCCTATTGACCAAGTGTACCAGTCATCGCCATCGTCTTAACAGCACATGATCACACGTACCATTCAGTTATACAAAGTACCTTTTCTGTTTTCTCTGGTATCGCACACAGTTTTAAGAATTTTTGCATTAAATAAGAAATGATCTTATCAATTTGTTGTCTGCAAACGGACGTAAACCAATATTCCCCAATTCCCGAAATTTTGGAATTGTATTTTTTAGGAAGATATGACAGAAAGATAGTAAGCAATGGCAGAACTGAATGTGCGCCATCGTGTTGTTAGATTTTGTTTACTTGTGAATTAGTCACCGTACACATGTCTTTTCTAAAGGTGTATTTGAGAATGTTGTGCAAGGTGATATGGTTTGTTTTTTAATATTTCCTCAGAAGAATCAGTTTTGTTCATCATTTTGGGATAATTATTTTTCTCTTATAATTAAAAAGAGCCAAAGTACAAGGAGACATGATCATGTGCGCTATAACAGTAAGTTGTTAATAATTGGTCCTTGGCGATAAATGGTTGTTAGTCAGTGGTGTAATAAACTACAGTTTTGCCCTGAACTGTTAATGTTGAATCATGAGGATGCTTGCCTGCTCTTCACTGATATATATCCATCTCACTGCCACCAAAGATATTTGTGATGTTTTGGGAATATTTCTTGAAAATGTAGATGTTAAACATGAAATATACCGTGTACCTAGGTTTCATATAATTTCTAGGTCATTGGCTAATTGTGTTCCAAAAGGTCCAAAGCATATTTTTCAATTTTGTTAATGGTACTGTTGAATATCCTGAAAAATATGTCACCATGTCCAGGCATATAGTGAATATGTTTCAACAATCCTATTTGAAAGGATTAATGATATGGTGATTCAATCTATAGTAACTTTAAGTCACTGAACTGTTGACACTAGTGATCATGGTAATCCCCTTATCATACTGAGATAGCTACTGGTTGTACCTAATACATGTAGGTATATGTACAAACTCTGTCATTAAACATGTCAAAATAAACAAACCATTCAGTGTGTGTTATTTTAATAGAACATTTGACCAACCACAATTTGATGTGCTGGTCCTTAGGTTCAAATAATGGTAAACAGAAAGCACCTTTCATGGCTCTAAATGGGGAATAATAATTGACTTCATAAGTCAATAAGTTATTGATAATCATGATTTTTTATAAACATTGAACGTTGACCAGGAAGTTGGTATGTTTGGAAAGTATTTTCACGTGTTAGTGTTTTTATGTGAAACTATTAGGGCTGGGACGAGTCCAAATTTACTACCCGGGTACCCATCCCCCTACTACCCGACCCTACCCATGTACCCACTCTAGGTCTCAAGAGATACAAAATGTCCGATTGGGATTTTTTTTTACCACAGCACTTGCAAAACATATTTAGATACATGTATTAAACAATCTGGTCATGCATACACCGAAGTTGACTTAAGTTCTACCTTTATTCAACCATATGAAATTTCAGGAGGAATGGTTGAATAGTCAGAAAGAAATGCGAACATTAGTGACTTGTAGTGTAACCATAGAGTTCTAGATAATTATTGTCATTAAACTATATATCACGTGACTAACCACGGGTCCGGGTAGTCCTGTAGGTTCCTGGGTCCTACTCACTACCCACCCGCCTCTGGTACCCTTGTTACCCGTTCCAGCCTTAGAAACTATATACAGTGAGTGCTTGCGACAAAATGGCATGTTTACCAGTAGAGGACGTAACGTGTACGCAAGACGGCTCTCCCGTCTTGCGTACAAGTGACCACCTGAGAGGGGGTCACTCGTATGCGTGACGGCCTGTCAGTGGACCATGGATTTCTGCATGTTGCACACAAATGTCTCTACAAGTGTTATTTGTGAAAATAATAAAACAGAATTACGTAGAGTCATTGATCATCATACTAGTTATCGTATGACATGAAAAAAATGTCATAAAAAAATAATAAACGTTCAAATTCGGAGAAAAATGTACAAATATTTTGGCATGTTTGGCATGTTTACATTTTCATGATGGTATCAAATGTTTGTTTCCGCATTTTTGTTTGTAGGTTTATCATCAAGTTTATTAGATTGTTGTTTCACATCAGTATCAGCTCATTGTCCATTAAATATTTTGATGAAATATATTAACATCCAAAACTGACTCCCACAGGAGATATCCTTGGGTGAGATCAATGAAATTGCATCACAATGCTTTGCAGACCATTGTGACACCATTGGTTACTGTGACGTCACAATCAAATGAGATCACTAATGGCTCTACTACTGAAGCTGTTAGCAGTACTTTTTACACCTAAGATAGTGCTTATTACTGTCTGCAAACTAGGGGAATGGGTGGCCCAGTAGTGTAAGGCACAGCCTTTCGCTGTGCGGAGTTGCATCCCTTGGGCATGCCAGAAACCTATGATTGTGGGTTCGAATCCCGGTTCGCCCTGATTATGTTTCTAGGTTTGTCAGCACCATACCCGGGCTTGTGGGTTTCACCGAAGTGGTAAACGTCTGAGACCTGCATCACTTCGGGCTTTCCTAAGCAGCATTAAACCCAACTCACTCACTCACTCATTCACTCACTCACTCACTCACTCACTCACTCACTGTCTACAAACTAAAAAGGTTGGAAGAATGATGTTGAATGATGAATAAAATCTCACCCTCGTGTCTTTTGATATGAAATATATCAACACTCGTTGATATAAGTTGAAACCTCGGAGTTTCTCCACTTTTATCAACTCATGTTGATTTATTGATATCAAAAGAGTGAGTGAGTTGGGTTAACGCCGCTTTTAACAGTATTTCAGTTATATCGCGGCGTCAGCTTAATGTGGGAGGAAAGCCCGAAGTGATGCAGGTCTCAGACGTTTACCACTTCGGTGAAACCCACGAGCACGGGCATGGTGCTGACAAACCTAGAAACATAATCGGGGCGAACCGGGATTCGAACCCCCAATCATAGGTTTCTGGCTTGCCCAAAAGACACAACTCTGCACAGCGAATCGCGGCGCCTTAGACGACTGGGCCACCCATGCCCCTTGATATCAAAAGACACTCGGTGAGATTCTCTATTTTTCTATATTAAAATATGGTGCTGTTTTGTTGAAGTGCATGAATATATGATATGATTATTAGTTAATGTCCAATCTCTCTGCAGTGTAACGATGTCTGTGAGCAGCTGCACCACAGCAGAGTCTGTTACCATGGAAACAGATGAGATGATGTCAAGCCAGTCTTCCCAGAAACGGGCTGAATATGAAACACAGTACTTTGGTTTCACACCCAAGTCTTTCAGCAATGGAGGTGAGTGAACATTATAGCTCAGTATCACCTGGTGTCTTGTGATACGATACGTATCATGATACGGACTCACGATACCACTGGTATCATGATACACCACTACAAATAGTATGAAATCTCTGAAATACAACTCTTAAACCTCTTGCTGCATACACTTATTATCTTAAAAACAAAAACTTGTTTTAAAAAAACAAAAACAAGAAGTGAAGAACAAAACAGTTTTAGATAAAGGGATGGTTATGAAATGTAATAGAGTGCGTCCTCTGCCGCCACGTCCTCATGCCATGGACGTCGTTCAGCTATGCTTACAGGTGGCGTTATGCTACTTTTGCCATATTGGCTGGTATGGTAACTCTTATCAGTTCCTGTTTTATTTATAGTTTATCGCGATCTCACAAACTGATGATTCAACTATTGTCTGTACCTGAGTATCGATGATATCGATGATATCGTAGGTATCGGTGAACAGTTGCAGTCCGAGTGCACTTGGTAAAGAAAAAAATGCTTTCATATTAAACATGTCAAAAGTGGCGAGTGAAGAAAGTTTTTCATTATTGTTGGTGAGTGAAGAAGTTTCAATAGTGCTTCCATACTACCAGTAGTCAGTAAAACCTTTGATAGAGTGTATAATGCTGTCAATGACTACTTGTGCTGTTTGATACAGTGTACAATGCTGTCAATGACTACTTGTGCTGTTTGATACAGTGTATAATGCTGTCAATGACTACTTGTGCTGTTTGATACAGTGTATAATGCTGTCAATGACTACTTGTGCTGTTTGATACAGTGTATAATGCTGTCAATGACTACTTGTGCTGTTTGATACAGTGTATAATGCTGTCAATGACTACTTGTGCTGTTTGATACAGTGTATAATGCTGTCAATGACTACTTGTGCTGTTTGATACAGTGTATACTGCTGTCAATGACTACTTGTGCTGTTTGATACAGTGTAAAATGCTGTCAATGACTACTTGTGCTGTTTGATACAGTGTATAATGCTGTCAATGACTACTTGTGCTGTTTGATACAGTGTATAATGCTGTCAATGACTACTTGTGCTGTTTGATACAGTGTATACTGCTGTCAATGACTACTTGTGCTGTTTGATACAGTGTATAATGCTGTCAATGACTACTTGTGCTGTTTGATACAGTGTATAATGCTGTCAATGACTACTTGTGCTGTTTGATACAGTGTATAATGCTGTCAATGACTACTTGTGCTGTTTGATACAGTGTATACTGCTGTCAATGACTACTTGTGCTGTTTGATACAGTGTAAAATGCTGTCAATGACTACATGCTTCTTGTGCTGTTTGATACAGTGTATAATGCTGTCAATGACTACTTGTGCTGTTTGATACAGTGTATAATGCTGTCAATGACTACTTGTGCTGTTTGATACAGTGTATAATGCTGTCAATGACTACTTGTGCTGTTTGATACAGTGTATAATGCTGTCAATGACTACATGCTTCTTGTGCTGTTTGATACAGTGTATAATGCTGTCAATGACTACTTGTGCTGTTTGATACAGTGTATAATGCTATCAATGACTACTTGTGCTGTTTGATACAGTGTATAATGCTGTCAATGACTACATGCTTCTTGTGCTGTTTGATACAGTGTATAATGCTGTCAATGACTACATGCTTCTTGTGCTGTTTGATACAGTGTATAATGCTGTCAATGACTACATGATGGACGGGCTGCAGGCAGTGGAGGGCTACATGAACACTGAGGTAGGTGCCGATTGGCAGTGGCTTGTTTATTCCTTCCTGCTGCAGCAAGAAATCACTTTTGATGAGAGGAGGGTGAGTTGGCCTCTTGACCAGTGTTTGAAATGAAAGGGGTTCCTGAGATCTTCTCTGATATATACATGATATGGGTGTTGTTTGTTATGTTACAGTAAGGAGTGAAGTGTTGTTTCCTATGTTACAGTAAGGGTGAAGTGTTGTTGCCTGTGTTACATTAAGGGTGAAGTGTTGTTGCCTGTGTTACAGTAAGGGTGAAGTGTTGTTGCCTGTGTTACAGTAAGGGTGAAGTGTTGTTGCCTGTGTTACAGTAAGGGTGAAGTGTTGTTGCCTGTGTTACAGTGAGGGTGAAGTGTTGTTGCCTGTGTTACAGTAAGGGTGAAGTGTTGTTGCCTGTGTTACAGTAAGGGTGAAGTGTTGTTGCCTGTGTTACAGTAAGGGTGAAGTGTTGTTGCCTGTGTTACAGTGAGGGTGAAGTGTTGTTGCCTGTGTTACAGTAAGGGTGAAGTGTTGTTGCCTGTGTTACATTAAGGGTGAAGTGTTGTTTCCTGTGTTACATTAAGGGTGAAGTGTTGTTGCCTGTGTTACAGTAAGGGTGAAGTGTTGTTGCCTGTGTTACATTAAGGGGTGAAGTTTTGTTTCCTGTGTTACAGTAAGGGGTAAAGTGTTGTTTCCTATGTTACAGTAAGGGTGGTGTGTTGTTGCCTGTGTTACAGTAAGGGTGGTGTGTTGTTGCCTGTGTTACAGTAAGGGGTAAAGTGTTGTTGCCTGTGTTACAGTAAGGGGTAAAGTGTTGTTTCCTGTGTTACAGTAAGGGGTAAAGTGTTGTTGCCTGTGTTACAGTAAGGGGTGGTGTGTTGTTGCCTGTGTTACAGTAAGGGTGAAGTTTCTTTACTGGGTTACAGTAAGAGTGAAGTGTTGTTTCCTATGTTACAGTATGGGGTGAAGTGTTGTTTCCTGTGTTACATTAAGGGGTGAAGTTTTGTTTCCTGTGTTACAGTAAGGGGTAAAGTGTTGTTTCCTATGTTACGGTGAGGGTGGTGTGTTGTTGCCTGTGTTACAGTGAGGGGTGATGTGTTGTTTCCTGTGTTACAGTAAGGGGTAAAGTGTTGTTGCCTGTGTTACCGTAAGGGGTAAAGTGTTGTTTCCTGTGTTACAGTAAGGGTGGTGTGTTGTTGCCTGTGTTACAGTGAGGGGTGATGTGTTGTTTCCTGTGTTACAGTAAGGGGTAAAGTTTTGTTGCCTGTGTTACAGTGAGGGGTGGTGTGTTGTTTCCTGTGTTACAGTAAGGGGTAAAGTGTTGTTCCCTCTGTTACAGTGAGGGGTGATGTGTTGTTTCCTGTGTTACAGTAAGGGGTAAAGTGTTGTTGCCTGTGTTACAGTAAGGGTAAAGTGTTGTTGCCTGTGTTACAGTAAGGGATGAAGTGTTGTTGCCTGTGTTACAGTAAGGGGTGAATGTTGTTTCCCTTGTTACGGTAAGGGTGAAGTGTTGTTGCCTGTGTTACAGTAAGGGGTGAAGTGTTGTTGCCTGTGTTACAGTAAGAGGTAAAGTGTTGTTGCCTGTGTTACAGTAAGAGGTAAAGTGTTGTTGCCTGTGTTACAGTAAGGGTGGTGTGTTGTTGCCTGTGTTACAGTAAGGGGTAAAGTGTTGTTTCCTATGTTACAGAAAGGGGTAAAGTGTTGTTTCCTATGTTACAGTAAGGGTGGTGTGTTGTTTCCTATGTTACAGTAAGGGTAGTGTGTTGTTGCCTGTGTTACAGTGAGGGGTGATGTGTTGTTTCCTGTGTTACAGTAAGGGGTAAAGTGTTGTTGCCTGTGTTACCGTAAGGGGTAAAGTGTTGTTTCCTATGTTACAGTAAGGGTAGTGTGTTGTTGCCTGTGTTACAGTAAGGGGTAAAGTGTTGTTACCTGTGTTACAGTAAGGGTAAAGTGTTGTTGCCTGTGTTACAGTAAGGGGTGAAGTGTTGTTGCCTGTGTTACAGTAAGGGGTGGTGTGTTGTTTCCTGTGTTACAGTGAGGGGTGAAGTGTTGTTGCCTGTGTTACAGTAAGGGGTGAAGTGTTGCCTGTGTTACAGTAAGGGTGGTGTGTTGTTTCCTGTGTTACAGTAAAGGGTAAAGTGTTGTTTCCTGTGTTACAGTAAGGGGTGAATGTTGTTGCCTGTGTTACAGTAAGGGGTGAAGTGTTGTTGCCTGTGTTACAGTAAGGGGTGAATGTTGTTTCCCTTGTTACGGTAAGGGTGAAGTGTTGTTGCCTGTGTTACAGTAAGGGGTAAAGTGTTGTTGCCTGTGTTACAGTAAGGGGTAAAGTGTTGTTGCCTGTGTTACAGTAAGGGTGGTGTGTTGTTGCCTGTGTTACAGTAAGGGGTGAAGTGTTGTTGCCTGTGTTACAGTAAGGGGTGAAGTGTTGTTGCCTGTGTTACAGTAAGGGATGAAGCGTTTATTATGTTACAGTATGGGGTGAAGTGTTTATAATGTTACAGTATGGGGTGAAGTGTTGTTTATTAAGTTACAGTATAGAGTAAAGTGTTGTTTGGTGTGGTACAGTATGGGGTGAAGTGTTGTTTCCTGTGTTACAGCAAGGGTGAAGTGTTATTTCCTGTGTTACAGTACAGGGTGAGCGTTGTTTCGTGTGTTACAGTATGGCGATGTGATATCACCAAGTCAAGTGAATGAAGGAGTACAGAAGATGCAACAGAACATGGCCAAACAAGTGGACAAGGCCTTCGACACACTCGAGGTATGTAGCCCAGTGCTTCACCCATCATTCAGATTTTCCTCCACACCGGAATACAATGTGTCAAGGCCATCAGCCGCTGTCCTTAGATGATAGTCAGCATTGTTAGGCCCCAAGTCTTACCGTTGGACCACGAGGAGGAGAGGGCGAGTTATCCAACACTATTACTAGACATGTCCAGACTTATTTTATTGCCTCTATTGTCTTGATTGTAGTAGACTTTAATTGTTATGACTATACATAACCACAAACAGGGCAGTTGTAAGTGCAAGAATGTAACAGTTGACAACATCGTATCCCAATTGCGTATATAATGATATTGAGTGAGTGAGTATGGTTTTGGTCGCTTTTAGCAATATTCCAGCAATATCACGGCGGGGGACACCAGAAATGGGCTTCACACATTGTACCCATGTCGGGAATCAAACCTGGGTCTTCGGCGTGACAATCTAACACTTTAACCACTAGGCTACCCGACTGCCCCCGTATATGATATTGAATATGATAAGATAACACTTGTTATAAAGAAAGGAAATTTGGGTTATATCAGCACAAGCTTTTCACGCTTGTTGATGTTTATTCATGATGCCCATCATCGTTTTTTCTGGTCCAGACTAGATAAGTTAGAGAACAGTATCATATAGCTGGAATATTGCTAAGAGTGGCAATAAACAGTAAACAATAATCCTATTGAAGTTTAAGGGTGCCATTTGACTTTTGTGTTTACCAACAAGACATGCTAGAAGATCGAAAGAGGTTATTTGAAATTATGTTCATAAGGTCTTGTAACGTACCTTTGTGTTTGGATTATTTACGAGTTGGGCCAGAACAGAAGCATGTTAATATTTGAATAGAAGCATGTGTACATGACTCTCCATTTGTTTCTCCAGTGTAAGTACATTTGTCACATGACCCGTGAAGATCCAGGGTAGAATAGGTCTTCAGCAACCCATGCGGGTGGTCAGTCTCGCTGACTTGGTTGGTGCATGTCATCGATCCCAATTGCGTGGGTCGATGCTCATGATATTAATCACTGGATTGTCTTGTCCAGACTCGATTATTTACAGACCGCTGTCATATAGCTGGAATATTGCTGAGTGCGGCGTTAAACAACCAACCAACCAACTTTACATGCTTACAGCACTGGAATCTTAATTTACCCTTGTCATTGGCACTTTAATACAAGGTGTTTGGAACCTGTATATAATGAACAATTATTGATGCACAGGCATACCTCTTCACCAACATCTTCTGTATTCCTGAAAACACTGTTCTGCGTGAGGATCAAGTAAAACAAGAGAAGCTGTACACAGAAGATGACGAGAAGAAGATAGACAGAGACATTGAGGAATATACACAGAAAATACTTGCTGTGAGAAATCATGAAACAACAATGCTATGAGGGTTGATTGATTAGTTCTAAGCCTCACAAAGAGGGGATTGTGTACTAGTGAAATCTTTTGTTGTGGACATTACGTGCCATAGAGGTATATCCAGCAATGGAAACTAACGACCCGTGAAGATCCGGGGTAGAATAGGTCTTCAGCAACCCATGCTTGCCGTAAAGGTCGACTATGCTTGTCGTAAGAGGCGACTAACAGGATCAGGTGGTCAGACTCGCTGACATGGTTGATGCATGTCATCGCATCTCAATGCTGTGGATCGGTGCTCATGATGTCAATCATTGGATCATCTGATCATTGGATCATCTGATTCAGACTCGATTATTTACCGCCATCATAGACTGAGCTGGAATATTGCTGAGTGCTGCAAACAAACACTAGAAACAGACTAACAATAGAAACTAACAGTTTTAGTCCACAAGTCCATATAATGATAACACATAGCAAAACCCTTAAAAAGGGCATATTTCTAGTCCTTAACTATTCGGCAGGACTATAGGACTAATTTCTATCGCTATCATATCCGCAAAAACTTCAGTCAGTTAACATGGTTAAGCAAATTGTTTTGTTGTCTAAGTAAAAATCAGTCAAATAAGCCATGTCTGTGACCTTTGCAAAATGGACTAACTTAGCGAGAGCAAGAGTGGCAATACAATTTTCATTGCAATTAAGACAGAACAATCAGAACAGTTTGTTTTGTTTGTTGTTTCACGCAGCACTCAGCAATATTCCAGCTATATGATGGCTCAATCAGAACAGTCCAGGAATCGGTGACCAACTTCAGTTACCAATTTCATGCACGTTGTGTCTTAATAGACTGTCTTTTATGCTCAAGACCAGACGCTATACTGATGACGTGTATGCTCAAGACCGGACTCTATACTGATGACGTGTATGCTCAAGACCAGACTCTACACTGATGACATGTATGCTCAAGACCAGACTCTATACTGATGACGTGTATGCACAAGACCAGACTCTATACTGATGACGTGTATGCTCAAGACCAGACTCTATACTGATGACATGTATGCTCAAGACCAGACTCTATACTGATGACGTGTATGCACAAGACCAGACTCTATACTGATGACGTGTATGCACAAGACCAGACTCTATACTGATGACGTGTATGCTCAAGACCGGACTCTATACTGATGACGTGTATGCTCAAGACCGGACTCTATACTGATGACGTGTATGCTCAAGACCAGACTCTATACTGATGACGTGTATGCTCAAGACCAGACTCTATACTGATGACGTGTATGCACAAGACCGGACTCTATACTGATGACATGTATGCTCAAGACCAGACTCTATACTGATGACGTGTATGCTCAAGACCAGACTCTATACTGATGACGTGTATGCTCAAGACCAGACTCTATACTGATGACGTGTATGCACAAGACCAGACTCTATACTGATGACGTGTATGCACAAGACCAGACTCTATACTGATGACGTGTATGCTCAAGACCAGACTCTATACTGATGACGTGTATGCACAAGACCAGACTGTTAGCTGATTTCTGATGATTGTTCATCTTCCCGAGACGGGGGTTAACTGACTTTAACAGTCCAGTTTCCACCCTTGCCGAACTAGGCTGGAATTCCTGGGCTTGATCGTAGCGCCACCACTGGTTATTACAAGCTATGTCCCTTCTAAACCTCTCCTATGGTCCAATCAGATTCCACCTCTTGTATGACTTGCATTTGCTTCAAACAAAATGGCGGCGCTCAGTCAAAACGATCTGATCGATAATCAAGATCTATATTGTGATAAAATGGGTCTTACATCGTGAAGTGTACCCAATCACGTGAGCACCTTGATTAAAAACATGAAAAGATTTGGAAAATATCCGTTGGCAACGAGTTGGCAGTGCACATGCTTTGCAAATCTTGCAATCAACCGAAATCTGCACGAAAGTTTACGAACCGGAATTCGATTTTGTTGCGAGATTTTGATTGGACTATGCATAGACTCGTTAGTCCAGCCAAAATCTAACTCCATAATACCAGCCTAGTTCGGCAAGGGTGGAAACTGGACTTTTATAGTCAGTTAATTCTCTTGCCTCGGGAAGATGATGATTGTTATGCTAGTGGTTATGTCTAGAAGGACTTCCAACTCTAATAATGTGGCATGGAGATGTGTGCTGGCAGATGGTAGAGATGCTGTGGTGATGGTGGTGTTCCCTGCAGGTGAAGTACGCCAACACCTGTCTGCAGGGGGAGCTGGAGGACATTGACCAGGCCCAGGCCCAGATGGACGGCATGCTGAAACAAGCCCACGACATGCACCAAGTCCTTCGCCAAGCTGGAGGTAGTCATCACATGGGGGCTAGTACCTCTATATATGTGACTTTGTTTTGTTTTATTGTATGCTGTTTTTTTATTTTAGTTTTTATTCATGTATATTGGGTATAAAATAATAAGCATCAGGAGATCGCAGGATATTTATTCCATATTGTTAAGATTTGTTACCGTGGGCGGATACAGAGAGGGGTGCGGGGGTACGCATCCCCCCTTTTTATTTCGAAAAAAATCTTTATTTCTGTATAAATTACCACCAAAGACAATAAATAGATCTTAATTATGCACCCCCCTTTTAAAAAAAGCTGTATCCGCCCATGGTTACATCCATTAAACTAGAATGTGTATTTCGATAAAACTTAGTTGAAAACTGTCAATGTTCCCTTCTTTACATTTTAGTAATTTTGTACCCTTACATGTGAGCAATATTTGGGATGCTAGTCAGTGTTGTCACAAAACAACCCATCCATGAAACAGCCACTAGCTGCCCTGCTCTGGGTGCCAATGTACAAAATAACCTCAGTGTTATGCCTGTCGTAATTCTATGTCATGGTATAGGAGTTACGATCAACTTCACGCTAAAATCGCTGTTCATTGGCACCCTGTTACCACTCATCTTACACTGTCTGAGTATCAATCTGTATTCTGTACAGCAAACCCAGGATCAAAATGTTGATTTTTCAGGAATAATTTGGTGTGTTTTCTGATGTGGCTGGCAAAATAAATTCAGTTTGACAGTGTTTGCGGCACTTGTTTTATGGCGTCAACCAGTGTCCGAAATAACTGCTAGTCTGCCTGCACGTGGCTGGTGACTTTTCTGTCGGGCTGCATGAAATCTTCCTCCACCTGCCCGACTGTCTGGTTGAGAATATTTAGATTACTTAGTTACATTTTCAGTGTTATTATATCTCCTTGTGGATTCTCAAGTAATTGTTTGCAATATTTCAGCTGAATCAAGACATGATATGTCACCTGGCCGACTGTCTTGTTGTGATTTAAAATTATTTCAAACACTGGTATCAACCCCATATACCCAGTTACAGGTGTGGGTGGCCCAGTCATCTAAGGCGCCGAGTTGCTTCCCTTGGGCACGCCAGAAACCTATAACTGGGTTCGAATCTCGGTTCGCCTCAATTATGTTTCTAGGTTTGTCAGCACTATGCCCGTGCTCGTGGGTTTCACTGAAGTGGTAAAGGTCTGAGACCTGCATTACTTCGGGCATGCCACGATATAACTGGAATACTGCTAAACGTGGCGTTAAACCCAACTCACTCACTCACTCAGTTACAGATATGAAGGACAGCCTGGTGTATGGCGCGAACCAGGTGCTGAAGAGAGTGGACGTCCTCAAGGGGATCCAGGTCGTGTCAAACAAGGTGATGAAGATTCTTGCTGGTCCTAAATGATCGAAAAGCTCCCATGAAACCGAACATTAGATATTGGTAACATGGAACTGATTCTTTTGGTTGTGGAAGAAGAATTTGGTAGACAATCTAAATGCTGTGTACATCATGTTGTGTTCGAAACCCACACCAGTGATCATGATAATACAGGTCATCTTTCAGTAGAGTCAGGGGCCCTGATGGCATTTGCAACATGTTACCTATGATTTGGTTGGTTTGTTGCTTTACGCCACCCTCAGCAATATTCCAGCTATATGACGGCGGTCTGTAAACAATTGAGTCTGGACCAGATAATCCAGTGATTAATATCATGAGCATCGATCCACGCAATTTGGATCGATGACATGCATCAACCAAGTCAGCGAGCTTGACCACCCGATCCCGTAAGTCGCCTTTTACGACAAGCATAGTCGCCTTTTACGACAAGCATGCTGAAGATCTATTCTACCCCGGATCTTCAATAATAAATTTGAAATATAATCAATGTATTATTTAGTGTTATCCACAACCAGCAAGTAAAACATACTATAATATGATGCCATGTGTCGAACTGTAATCAGATGCCGACAAAACTGACATCCATGAATAGAAGCAAGATTTTTTATATGGCTATGAATTTTACATAAGAATTTGTTGATGGAATCATTCATGCTTCATTGCCAATTGGAAATGTATAGAAGTAAAATGTGTGTGTGTGATAATGATTGATGATCCACCATGTCACAAGACTATGTGGACCTATGGGTCCGATTACATTGAACTTGGCAGCATCGAGTGGAGAATTTAAATGTTTGCAGTAATTCAACAAATTTATTAATTCTGCAGGGGCACATGTGTCCCAGTCGTCTAGGGTGCGATTCGCTGTGCAGAGTTGCGTCCCTTGGACATGCCAGAAAACTATGATTGTGGGTTCGAATCCCGGTTTGCCTCGATTATGTTTCTAGGTTTGTCAGCACCATACCCATGCTCGTGGGTTTCACCGAAGTGGTAAACGTCTGAGACCTGCATTACTTCGGGCTTTCCTCCCACATTAAGCTGACACGCCGTGATATAACTGGAATACTGTTAAAAGCGGTGTTAAACCCACCTCCCTCACTCATCCATTAATTCTGAAAAATCCTCACTTATCCTTTCTTTGTTTCAGAGCACTACAAAAGGAGAGGAAACCAAGAAGACATGATACTGTCTCTGCCTACAGTGTATGCCATCTCTCCAACTACAAGGAAACATGTCAAACTGTCTCCAAGACCCAGGCGTCATTCTTCACCATGGCAGCTAGTTTGCATGAACTCCACTGCTTAAACAAATCATACTTCACTGCCAATACTCAGAATATTATTACAGAGTTATAGCTGGGATTTTCAATCACAGCCATAAGGTGCAGGCTATTTGGGAAATACATGTACATACTATTTTGTCCTGAAATAAAAGCTTTTTGTGCTAAGCTGGTCCTGTTCAGCAAAAATACACTTTATGTTTTGAAAAACGAAAACTGAAAATTGTTATCCATAATACCTCAAGTCTGAAATTCTTAACAGATTATTTTCTGTAAACATTGAGCTGAATATCAGACACAGAGAATGCACATATACATTCCCAAACTGGGCATGTTAAACTTCCCTACTGTGTCCACAAGAGCCTCAGAAACGACTGATGTCAATCACTGGATTGTCGGGTCCAGACTCGATTATTTAGAGACCGCTGGAATATTGCTGAGTGCGGAGTAAAACAATAAACAAACAAACAAACTAACGACTCTGGGAAACTGATGGTTGGTCAGAGTGTCCCATGTCTCTGTGAACTGCAGCTACTCAAGTGATAAATAAACTTGCATGTACTAACAGTGCATGACAAATTTAAACATGATTTCTTCAGTGTTAATTGTTATTCCTCTCCTTGCCAAATAAGTAAATCATACTTTGATGATCTTTTAAAGCCTCTAATTGGCTTTGTTCCTGGTTATTTGCTGGGAAAATGTTGGCAGTCCATAACAGTTTTGGACAAATTACATTTGTTTGGGACCCGTTTAGATTCCGGAGTAGAATCCGTCTTCAGCAACCCATGCTTGCCGTAAAAGGTGACTCTGCTTGTCGTAAAAGGCGACTAATGGGATCGGGTGGTCAGGCTCGCTGACTTGGTAGATGCATGTCATTGATCCCAATTGCGTGGATCGATGCTCATGATATTAATCACTGGATTGTCTGGTCCAGACTCGATTATTTACAGACCGCCGTCATATAGCTGGAATATTGCTGAGTGCGGCGTTCAACAACAAACAAAACATTTGTTTGGACAAATATTTGTAAATGTTCTTTCACATTAAATGTATTTTGTCTCCAAATCCAGCTGAAATATGGTAACTAAATTTTGTGTTGAATATTATATTTCATCTAATTTGTCAATATGTTTTGCATGTAAATATACTACATACATTCAACACTTGCATGAGTCAAAGGAACAGAACAAAAACTGATTTTAAAGGCCTTATATATGAGCCTTGTATAGACCACAATGATAGTACATGTATTTGAATAGGGACAGATGTGAGGTTCCCTGGTGCCACATGGTCCATTGTATGGCTGACAGGTCTTAACTCCGGCAAAGTTAAGCAACATTGGTCGTGGAGAGTCCTTGGATGGGTGACCGTGTTCTGCCGCTTGGCTCATGCAGGTTTCTAGGGCATCGGTCCAGCCCCACACTGAAGCACATGCAGTGTTTCTTTGGCCACGTGACTTTGTTCGAACAGTGCCTCTGTTCACCCAGCAGTGAATGGGTACCTGGTAGGATGTGCCTGAGAACCTTGTAACGTCTGAAGGCAGCTTGGGTTGTAGACTCCCAAGGGGGAGGGGGTGAAAATCAAATGCATATCGATCCATTGATCAGGGTGATAAAGGTACATGCTTCCAGCATACACGAGTATGGAGTTGAGTGCAATAAAAGAAGCATTATTAGGATATAGTTCTTCCAAGGACATTTGTGCGACCTATAACTTGAAAACTACTAAATAGATTCTTTTCAAACTTGAACACTTTTTATACCTGTAAGAGAGGCGCCATGCAAAGTTTGATTTCAATATTTAGATTGATTTCTTTTCAAATACCCGTTACATATTTTTTTCCTCATTTTTTACTTCAACATTTGTGCGACCAATGGCTTGAAAACTACTTCATGGATTCTTGTCTATTAGGGGTACAGTTTCTATACCAATAAGAGATGTGAAGTGCGAAGTTTGTTTTCAATATTTGGATTTTCTGCAAAATACAGCAATTTTTATTTGTGCAACTGATAACGAGAAAACTACTTTATGGATTCTTTTCAAATTAAAGGAACAGTCTCCATACTAATAGAACAGGTGCAGTGCAAAGTCTAATTTTGACATGTGTGTTTTCTGATATATATATATATGTACTTTTTTATGTTTTGAACCTAGAATATCTTTTACTTCAACATTTGTGCGACCCATAACTTAAAAACTAATTCATGGGTTCTTTTCCAATTGGGGGCACAGTGCAAAGTTTGATTTTGATAAGTTGATTTTCTGAGAAAATATTGCTTTTTTTCATGTTTTGAGTCAAAGTCAGGGTATTAGTGAGCCCTGTTCACTTTTTGTCTGATTGTTATTATCGTTAACAAAGCACACAGATAAGATGTACGAGTGAAACATGTTTATTTACAATCATCATTCATACTAACACTCGCTACGATGCAAGCATGTCAGGATAACCACATTAAAATACAAACTTCATATTGGCCATAAAACAAGCTCTCATTGTGGAGCGTCAGTGTGACCAAGGTCTGCATTACAACACCACAGAGGAAGCAGCCATGTTCCCTGTTCAGAACATAATATGGACAATAAAAATCTGGCTGTTAAAACAGTGCTTTTCAGATTATTTTTTCCCAATGTTCACTTTTTTTTAATAAAAAAAATCTTGCTTTAATATAGTTGTTTGTGATGGTTGTATATATACCTTGTTCACATTTCAGATTTATTCTTGACAATTTCAGAACATTTAACATTGTTTAATACTGGAGTTTGGTATCAATTGTGTCATAAACATTCACCATTAATCTCACTCAACAGAGACCGCCACCGTGGTCTAGTGGTAGAGCGTCCGCCCGGGGAGCGTTTAGTCCGGGGTTCGATCCACGGCCGCGTCATACAAAAAGACATTAAAAGATGTTGTTGTTACCCTGCCTGGGGCTCAACGTTAAGGGGCTAAAACAAGGACTGGTCGACTCAGAGTCGGTATACTGTGTCTGAGTGGGATATTCATGTTAAACTGCGGCATGGTATCTCAGTGAGCTAGTACTATAAATCGGCATCAGTCCGGACTAGTACAAGCAGCCTCACACACACACACGTGCATGCATGTCGCTATATAAGTGCAATAATCTTGGACGCGACGTTTAACCCCATTTCACCTCACCTCACTCAAGAGAACAAACTGCAATGAAGTCATGATTTTCTTTGAAACTACTATGTACATCTGTGGAAACAGTTCCACTTCTTATCAAGATTCCGGGGTAGAATAGGTCTTCAGCAACCCATACTTGCCGTAAAATGTGACTAACGGGATCGGGTGGTCAGGCTCGCTGACTTGGTTGATACATGTCATCGATCCCAATTTGCGTGGATCGATGCTCATGATGTCAATCACTGGATTGTCTGGTCCAGACTTGATTATTTTACAGACAGCCGTCATATAGCTGGAATACTGCTGACTGCGGCGTTAAACAACAAACAAATCTTATCAAGTGAGTGAGTAAGTGAGTTGGTTTTAACGCCACTTTTAACATTATTCCAGCTATATCATGGCGTGTCAGCTTAATGTGGGAGGAAAACCCGTAGTGATGCAGGTCTCAGACGTTTACCACTTCTGTGAAACCCACGAGCACGGGTATGGTGCTGACAAACCTAGAAACATAATCGGGGCGAACCGGGATTCGAACCTACAATCACAGGTTTCTTGCGTGCCCAAGGGACGCAACTCTGCACAGCGAATCGCGACGAACCCCCACAGCTCTTAGACGTTTCAAACTTTGGTGACCCTGAAACTCTTCACTGTCAAGCTAACTATCACAATAAAGGTGAATCCGACATCACCGGACCCTGGCATAACTGAGGGACACAACCATACAGAGCAATTACATAGCCCTAGACTGGACCACCATTATTTCCAAAATGACGTTAACTTGGTCAGGTGGTTGTCATAGGACCTGCCTCCCCATCCCGATAACTTGATGTACTGGCCTGACCCACGGCACATGATGATGAGGCATAAAAAATAATAGAAGTGGTTCTGGGGCAATGACTTTTGAAAATAGTGAGGGCAGGGGGTTTTTTTTGTTTTTTTTTGCTTGTTCAAGCCAGAATGTAACGAAATAAACAGTTCCATCTACCTGGTGATGCCAATACCAAATCACAAGATGCGCAGTAAGGTAGTGCACATGTAAAGTAAAGTAACTGTGTGTTACATTGGATCGCATTGTTTTGAAGTATTAGGATTTGATTATTATTTGTGAAAATGGAAATAAAAACAAAACATGCGGCAGATTTTAGGATGGTGCGGGCAGTGTCCAAGAACCAAGACTATTATTTAGCCTTACGCACCATCTCCTGAACCATGAAGTGTTTAAAAAACATTGTTGTAATAACCATGCATTTATTCATTTCAAGAATTGGCTATGAATAGAAGTTTTTTGTTTCATAGAGGAACTTTGGTAGGTGAGCTTGGCAGCTTGTCCCTGGTCATTATTCCCGAGCAGTAAGAAAGGGAAGTGACAATTTGTTAACGTGGTCTCCGCAGCGTGTTGCATCACATCACTTCATACAAACACAAGTGACGCTTTGCAACAATACATCTTTTCATCACAAAGATTTGTAGGCTATTGGAATTATCCAAACTCAAAGCCACAATTATCCGGCACTTGGATTTGGGGATGTTTGTCTGAACTGACACCTGCAGATTTGTTTATCAAAGTCTTTCACTGCATCTGGTTGTCAACTCTGCAAACAGCAATTACCGTATTCGATGTAATAAGCGCCCCACTCTAATAAGCGCCCATGGCGGTATTTGCTAATATATTGGCTAGTGAAAAATCCCAATTAGCAACCCTTCCGATTGATCAATGTTCACAAGACTTATTTATTCGCGTTTAATACGCACTCGTGTGTTATATGCACCCTTAATTATTGGCAATTAAAATCTAGAAAAATATATCTGTCGTACATAAACATTTCAGGCTGTCAGCATAAACTACGAAATTTATCTTTCAACTCTGTTTTTTTCACCAAAATAATATTCTAATAAGAGCCCCCTATTTCTAATTTTGTGAGCGCTCTGGGCGCTTATTACGTTGAATACGGTATGTGGTACTTTGAGTTCGGTCTATTCTGGTAATTCTCAAAAATATTTGACATATAAATACTCTTAATACATTCAACATGTTCAAGGTTACATGAATTCAATTTGGACATAAGTGACTAATTACATGAACGTTCAGACATTAAATGATACTTCTGCAATTCATTGTCATATCACAGAACAAGAATGTTAAAAGCAAACAAACCATCTACATAAATTTCCCTGCATGTAAAATAAAAACATTTATTGTTTATGAATCAACAACATTTTGCCTTATACATTTTTCCAAAACACTGGACACATCTCAAATAAAAAGTCACTAATTATTCAAACATACCACTGTAATAACACTGAATCTCATTGATTGTGTTTGTCATTGCCCTTTTCTCCATGCACACGCAGACTAAACATCTAAACAAGGCATCCACACAAGACAGCTTCATACATATACATATTCCACTTTGCTCCAGACAGTACGGGAAACTAACCAAGAATATTAATGTCTGTGTCTGCCTCATCCCTTTTGAGTGAGTGAGTCAGTATGGTTTTATGCCGCTTTTAGCAATATTCCAGCAATATCACGGCAGGAACACCAGAATTGGGCTTCACACATTGTACCCATGTTGGGAATCGAACCCGGGTCTTCGGCGTGACAAGCGAACGCTTTAACCACTAGGCTAACCGACCGCCCCCATACTTTTTTAATTAACCTTACTAGTCGAGCTTACGGAAATAAGTATGTTGTAATTCACTCTGCACCCCACACAATAAACAATAAACTCACAATAATTCATAGGATAATAATTATTTAAGATGCACACTGAAAAAATATTGACATGTTATGTTTTACTTTTATGACATCAATCCTGTTTTTACATAACTGCCAAATGTGTGTCTAGTTTGCGCAAATAAATAATAATAATGTCAACAACTTGATCAGGTTTTGCAGAAGTAATGATTAAAATGCATTTCACATAAACAAAGATACAAGGCATCAATTCCAGGGTATTGGATACTTGAAGACAATTTTACTGGTATTACGTTTGCAGATAAATTCAATCGACAGAAAAGCAAACCCAGTTCGAGAAAGACCTTGGCGGTCCACTTGTCATGTTGATGAAGACCTGTGAGTTTAGCTCTACTTTCCTTCTGTGGTCGTTATCTAAGATCTTGAGTTTACATGTGTGAAAATATTTATCAGGACTTTTTGGCAATGGCTGCAGCTGCAATTCCAACAAGTCCGCCAATAGCTAGTGCCGCTCCTCCGACTATTGCCATTCCCATGAAGCCTTCTGAATGTGGAAAATGGAAAAATACAAGTATTACAATGGTCAACATAGTCTGAACTTAGTCTTTAGTGAACTGCTCTTGAACCCTAACTCTTGCACCAATGTCATCTACTCTCTGAACTCTCTATAGTTTAGGAGACATTTAGAATGTTGTGCCTTGGTTGTTCTTGGTCATCTAAAGGAGGCTCATAGCCTCACAATCATAAACGACCCTGAAGATCTGGGGTAGAATAGGCCTTCAACAACCCATGCTTGCCGCAAAAGGCGACTATGCTTGTTGTAAGAGGTGTCTAACAGGATCGGGTGGTCAGACTCACTGACTTGGTTGATGCATGTCATGGTATCCCAATTTCATGGATAGATGCTCATGATGTCAATCACTGGATTGTCTGGTCCAGACTCGATTATTTACAGATCGCCATCATATAGCTGGAATAATGCTGAGTGCGGCATTAAAGACCAAACAAACAAACACAATCATAAACATGCATTTACATACAATCTTTGTGATGATATACTTCATGTATCTGAGACTATAAAATCACTTGACCATACTGTTCTTGTCTAGTGAAGTAACACTCAAGTCAACACTATTTTCAGTTGGAGTTATCAGGGTTCACTCTGGGAATTTTCTGACATGGGCCCTTTATGTGAATATTTCAAATATTCCAGAGTTACACCCACACTTGCCCATACAGCACAATGTTAAAATACCCCATTGTATTTGAAAATGTGGGCCTTTTTTTAAATTTAGGGGCTAAAAGCACAAGGCCCCACCCTAGAATTATCCTTGCGTTATGGACACTGTATTATAACGCGTACACGATTGTCAGATTGAGATCAGTTAGAACAAAGTGGACTGACGTGTCAGTTCTTGCCATGTACATAGTGTTTATCCCATCTCAGTGTCAATCATAAGTATATCAGTCCAGGATATAAACATGATATATTGCCAAACATCCCAACATGTACACCAAACAGGTCGTGCCCACTGGAGACAACAACAAATGGCAGAGTGACGGTTGGCTGGTTTTTTAACGCCGCACTCAGCAATATTCCAGCTATTTGACGGCGGTCTGTACATAATCGAGTCTGGACCAGACAATCCAGTCATTAATATCATGAGCATCGATCCACGCAATTGGGATACGATGAGATGCATCCACCAAGTCAGCAAGCCTGACCACCCGATCCCGTTAGTCGCCTCTAACGACAAGCATAGTCGCCTTTAACAGCAAGCATGGGTTGCTGAAGACCTATTCTATCCCGGATCTTCACGGGCCCAGAGTGACAGTACAAAGCTTGCCCCGAATGAACAGGTCCTTCACATTAAACTCACCTTTCTTCATCTTATCTTTGATGTACTTCTCCAGCTCTGCTGCCTGTCTGTTCTTGGGCTCGATCTTCACAATGGCCGCAGTGTACTTCAGGGCCTGCTGATATTCCTGTCCACGACACACAAGAGTGAGATAACTCTCCAAACCTGGCATTAGTCTCACAATCATAACTCCAAAACTTGACATAGACGTACAACAGCTATAGGACAAAGAGCCCTTCGTGATATGGAATATATATATATGCACATAAAATATTAAATTAGTCTCGGATAAAGGCTGGGATGCGGGTAAACAAGAGGGAGGGAGTGTGACCTCCTATTATGGCACCAACTATCTTAGTAGTGAGTGAGTGAGTTTGGTTTTACGCCGCATTTAGCAATATTCAGGCAATATCACGGCGGACACCAGAAATGGGCTTCACACATTGCATCCATGTCGGAATTAAACCCGGGTCTTCGGCGTGACGAGTGAATGCTTTAACCACTCTGCTACCCCTCTGCCCCGATAACAGAAAGAGGAAATGTATGTACAGTGTGGTCATCTACTATATACAATGATTGACGTGGATTTCAACCTTTTTCTTCTTCAATGCCATGTTTGGTACAGGTGCTTGTACCTTCATGTAGCAAGTGATGGGTTTACCTTGATGCGAGTGTAGCCCACTGCCATGTAAAACAGATAGTCCCTCTTGGCTGTTTCATCTGATGTGCGGGAGAAGAGGTCTGAAAGATGGCCAAGTATGAGAAGACAGCCATGTGATTATGTTCCATCACTGATGCCCTGAATTTATTTCTCTTAGTACAAGAGTTGGTTCTCAGGCAATGACTTTTGAAAAAATAGTGCGTGCAGGTGGTGTTGTTTTTTTTAGCTTGTTCAAACTAGAATGTAACCAAATAAACAGTTGTGTACCATCAGTGAGTGAGTGAGTGAGTTTGGTTTAACGCCGCTTTTAACAGTATTACAGTTATATCGCGGCATGTCAGCTTAATGTGGGAGGAAAGCCTGAAGTGATGCAGGTCCTAGACGTTTACCACTTCAGTGAAACCCACGAGCACAGGTATGGTGCTGACAAACCTAGAAACATAATCGGGGCGAACCGGGATTCGAACCCACAATCATAGGTTTCTGGCGTGCCCAAGGGATGCAACTCTGCACAGCGAATCGCGGCGCCTTAGACGACTAGGCCACCCGTGCTTCCTTGTGTACCATCAACCTGGGAAAGGGCTTCCCTACATAAACAAGCACACAAACTCCTTTTGCCGCCATTACCATAACACGAGATGCGCAGTAAAGCAGTGCGCATGTAAAGGGAAGTAACAGCATGCTATATTGTTTTTAAGTATTGGGATTTTTTGATTTTTTTAAAATTGGAAATAAAACGAAACGTGCTTTGGACTTTATGCTGATTATCACGGTGCCTGAGAATCAAGACCTTTTTAGACTAGAGTATTTTGGTTTTATATATCATGTACTTGCATTGCTGTCAGTGAGTGAATGTGGTTTAATGCTGTTGCCTGTAAATAATCAGTGTGATGACGTGCAGACCAGGCGATCCTGTGACTGGAAACATGAGCTACAAGTGTCATCAATGACAAATCCCCGACCCCACAAATTCAAAAGAACAAATCCTCTGACTGTTACAACAAGTCCTACAAGAGTGATCTGTCCAACTTGATGAGAGTACTCCTATCTATTCTGTTCATACGTATACAAGAGTAGTTATTAAGCTATCAAAACAAATACCATGGAACTGGGATTCGGAACTTTTTTTTTGATGTAAATATTAATAATTATGATAATGTGATACAAAATTATGATAACATATGAAGAAACAGAGGTGAACAAATAACTGAAATTCTGTCAAGAATTAAAAGCACCAACTTCCTGACAACTGATCACTAGGGTTGCGACCGGGTACGAAAACTGAACTCGAGTACCTGTAGTTCAATGTTGTCCCACTTGTTTGTAATGCTTTTATGAATAAAAGGTCATCAAACATCTATTGATCTATTCTAAAGGTATTATGTTTTTTATTAAATGCCTGCATGGCTTACCTAAAACATTTGAACGATTGTCCGCTTTGTCGTCCATTTTGAAGTGACTACGAAAGGTGATTAGAGTTATCTCCCCTGAACGGGGACTCGAGTCCTGAAAATTGGACTCGAGTCCTAAGCTACCCGACCCGTCATCGGGTACTCGAGTACCCGTCGCAACCCTACTGATCACTGTCCAAACACAATGCAATGAGCGTCTACCGAATACCAACAGAAACAATACAACACAGCTACAATCACTGTTAAACAATACAATACACTGCCACATAACAATATATGGAATAATAGGACATTGCTGAAGCTCACCTTCCAATAGAGCAACGCCTCGCTTCATGTCCTGTTGGTATCGACTCCTCACCAGGCACCAGGCATAGTCGAACTGAGCCTTCTCACTGACTGGGCCCTTCCTTGCCTGGTCATGGTACTGGAGTTCGAACTTCTGTAGGCAAAATAAAGAAAACTATCAAGGCACCACATGTAAATGTGCAACAACTCAGCAGGCTTACAGATGCCATGGTGCTGATTTACTGCCAGTATTTCAACTTCAGTATTGGCACAGATGGCCCTGTAGACCTGGGTGATGCAGTTTGCTGTGCAGGAAGAAGTCTTGCCAGAAACCCCTGCTCATGGGTATGAATGAAAGACATAATAATGACCTTTGGTTTGTCAGAATCATGCCAGTCTCATGAAAGTGATAAACACCTACAATTTGTGTCACCTGGGGCTTTTCCCCAGTGAGTGAGTGGGTGAGTGGGTGAGTGGGTGAGTGGTTGAGTGAGTGAGTGAGTGAGTGAGCAATGGTGAGTGAGTGAGTGAGTGAGCGGTTTTACGCCGCTTTGATCAATATTCCAGCAATATCACAGCGGGGACATAAGAAATGAGCTTCACACATTGTATCCATGTGGGGAATCTATCTGGAATGCGTTAACCACTAGGCTATAAAAATATTTAAGTCTTATTCTTCTTCATCTACATTTATAATTGCTTTCAGGTTTGTGACAGAGATCCACGGTCATTATGTAACCCATCTAAAGTCATTTAACTATTACTATTAGAGTTTGGCATTTTTTTTTATACTGTGGACTTCTATGACTTCAATCAGTATAGTGTCACTTATCCAGTGTATATACAATGAAATCTGACTCAGAAGCTAATCACTGAGATCTCTTCAAACAATGTACAGCAGTGTTCCTTCCCGCTGGCTTTTGAACTCTAAAAATGACAGGTTCCCCCTAAACTCTTAATGGTAAACACTGTTGTCTCACAATAAGTTGTGTCCTCAGTGTCAGAATCCAACTCCTGGTTTTGTTTTATGTCTTGAACATTTCTTTGGTTGCTGGTATAGCAACTTACATATTTTATCTGGACAATATTTGTGGTCGTAACTTTCTCGGTGACTATTTGGGAGGTTTTTTATATACAAATACCACAACTCTTTTTCAGAACAGAACATGGAGCACCTTTAGAATACTGTGCCACAACTTCTCATGAGGACGATCTCTGCCGTAGGTCACATGTCTCACCTATAAACAACCAGTGTTGGTGAGAATCCGCAGGACGCGCACTCAAGACCTTCAGATTGTTAGCACGACAGCTAACCAACTGAGCTACGTCCACACTGTTAAACTTAGGGCAAATTTACCTAGCCATGCCTATGATGTCATGGAACTGAATGGAATGGTCGTACAGGTGATGGACACTTACAAGGTTACAGGGAGGAATCTTGTCTCATGACTTTAGTCCATGGACACTCACAAGGGATCCTGATGCTTGTCCCTTCGGTAACCCACAAGATGTGAGGAATAGCACGAATGTTCCAGGTGCAAGACGTTGAATTCACGAGTACTGATGAATGACGGTTGTAATAATTTGTTGGTGATTTTGTCCAATAAAAGTGTGCTAGGGAACATTGTAAGGATAACGTTGATCATAGTAAGGATCTAGGAAGGCATAGGCATGGCTACGGATGCCACGAGGGTCAGTCGGCTTTTGAATCTTTACTGACAAAGTGTAGTGAGTGAGAGTTCCATGACAGTCTCCTGTAGCCAAAACATTTGACATGAAACTACATCATCCTGGTAACTCAACATTTTTGCGAGAAGAACCGTAATCGACATAATAACCTCCACGCTCTAATATGCGCGAACGGCGATATTTGCTAATATATTGGCTAGTGAACAATCCCAATTATCACACCTTCCGATTGATCAAAGTGCACAGACTTATTTATTCATGTATAATACGCACTCGTGTGTTATATGCATCCTTAAGTATGGGCAATTAAATTCTGGAAAATATTCTATCATGTATGATATGCACTGACTCAATCTCATTAAAATCAGATCTTAGTTCTCGCTATCGCTAAACAAAGATCTGAGGACATCCCATTACGGGTCACGTCAGAACGACCTTTCATCCAACCAAACAGAGCGTCGCTTACCAGATCATGAAAGTGACAGTTGGAATGTGTTTTCTGATCATGCAACCACGATATATTTAACAAGGGGTATTCCGAATGACAGTTACGGGTTTTATGATTATATCCATACAATCTAGGCCATCTATGAGTCATTCCAGAATGTTCTTTTTATCAGTTTTAAATATTTTAATCGAGAATACGTCAAAATATGTTTCGAAGCATAGTTGCCAGTTTGAAACTAGCGTCGTAAAGCTCGAGAAAGCTGCCTTCTGATTGGCAAATGTTGATTTCTTGATTTCGTGACCCGTAATGGGATGTCCTCAGATCTTTGTTTAGCGGTAGCAAAAACTAAGATCTGATTTTAATGAGATTGTGGACCACACTCCATTGAAAAGAAGTTTCATCTGAAGGGAAAATATCCATTCTGATCCCTGCATGTACTAATAAAGGCAACCAAAGTCTATTTAATGCTGTGAGGAGGCTAGTCTTATTTCAGTGAGTTGGGTGTAACATTGCACTATCAGTTTAATGTAAGCTGTTGGAGGAAAGCCTAAAGTACAGCTCTTAGCTACCTTCTGATTGGCCAATGTCGATTTCTTGTCAAATTTAGCGAAAGGTCGTTCTGACGTGACCCGTAATGGGATGTCCTTAGATCTTTGTTTAGCGGTAGCGAGAACTAAGATCTGATTTTAATGAGATTGGCTCAGACTTTTCTTTTGTATCATTTCAGGCTGTCAGCATAATCCACACAATTTACAATCTTTCAACTCTCACCGAAAGTATATTCTAATAAGAGCCCCCTATTTCTAATTTTGAGAGCGCCCTGGGGGCTTATTATGTCAAATACGGTTTATAAAATAAATGCAACTGAAAAAGTGAAAACAATGAATGTCTTCGGCTCCCATACTTGAAAATGCATTAGAAGGGGGTACAACCCCCTGAGACCCCTTACACAGCTCATAAAGCCTTGTATCTATCCTTGTCATTACAAATCTAATTGATTTATTGCAAAAGAGGTCCCACAGTAGACAGATATTGTTCATACCAGCAACATTTACATGTGTGCAACGTCAATACACAAATACCTACTAAACTACATCATTGTACATTCCTGTGCTTAATAATGAAAACTACTGAATCGAAAAAATAAAATATGCGTATTAGTTCCCATTTATAATCCATTTTACCACATGAATACAGTTGAAGCTGGAAAAAATATATAATGAAAAAATAAATACTTTCATATTAAAACTGGCGCTTGCTATAAAATGTGCTTCTGCAGGCCATATTTAGTGAACGAATATTGAAAACTCTCAACATCGCTGGGCTTATTTAATGACATTGCGCACAGAGATGACAGATCACGAAGCCACAGGGTATTGTTTCACCAGTGTATCTGGCAACAAAATATCACAAATTACGTCATATGATAACATGACATGCTTGAAAAGTTTGTGGTACTGGGTTTCAGGCTAAAACGGCACCTCAGCAAAATGTCGACGATTTCTCAGACGAAAACAGCACCTCATTTGTTTAAAATGGCTACTAATTGTCAGGCGAAAACGGCACCTCTACTATTGATAAAGATAAGAACGATTTATGTACATGTGTAGTATATATGTTTTCCTTGGGCGGGGACGGCTCTCGGCAGAATGGGGAGATATATATGAAATATCAATCTAATTGCTATTTATTTCTTACTTACAAAAGTAAATACTAAATATATAGTATACCTGTAGTACAATTTCTTGACATTTCCGCCAGAGTTTAAGCTTGACATTAAGTTAATTTGAGTAAAGGTACTTAAAACTTCAAAGCATGGGATGTTTCAATGATAACTTTAGTTGCGCCTCCCAATCAGGAGTGAGGTGAGGTGAGGTGAAATGGGGTTTAACGTCGCGTCCAAGATTATTGCACTTATATAGCGACGTGCAAGTATGTGTGTGTGTTTGTGTGGCTGCTTGTACTAGTCCGGACTGATGCCGATTTATAGTGCTAGCTCACTGAGATACCATGCCGCAGTTTAACATGAATACCCCACTCAGACACAGTATACTGACTCCGAGCCGACCAGTCCTTGTTTTTAAGCCCCTTAATGCCGAGCGCCAGACTGGGTAACAACAAGTACCATCTTTTAACGTCTTTTGGTATGACGCGGTCGAACCCCGGACCTTCCGCTCTCCGGGCGGACGCTCTACCACTAGGCCACGGAGGCGGTCCAATCAGGAGTGGGTGAGTAAATTGGAGTAGAGGCTAATTTCTAATGTAAACTTGTTTTAACATTTCACAATTATTTGTGTTTGCAAATGACCATGTGAGTCAAATTTCATTTATTTTACTTCAAAGCATGTAATGTTTTCACAATAAGTTTAGTTACACCTCCAAATCAGAGTCATTGAGTAGAGGCTAGTTTCAAATGTAAACTGTTTTAACATTTCATAATTATTTGTGTTTGCAAATGACCATGTGAGTTTAATTTCATGTATTTCAATACCAAGGTAAAAAAAATATCAAGGCGACATTTTCGCCAGGCAAAAGTAGCCGTTTTTCGCCAATTAGTGCTGTTTTCGCCAATCAGTGAAGTTTTGCTGAGGTGCCGTTTTAGCTATAGCCTGCAACCTCGGGGTATCACGGTAATTGGAAAAATGTTAAAAGCTAACAATATATATATTAAAAGCACTCCTGGTATGCCCAAAGTATGTATTTACTTTTTGGCTTCTACTAGTTCTAGTGAAGAACGTGTTTCTAAGTCTGGCATTAAGGCCCTTATTAACTCCTAATAGATTCTGGACACAGAGTGGGAAAAATGTGCAGACTATGTAACTTCTGTTACCTTATTAGTCACCTTCAATATGCAGATGATCTAGTTCAGGTCGATAGAGAAAGTTTATTTTGGAAATTGCTGGTTATATTGTTGTCCATTGACAGATGGGGGTAAGGCAATATTAAAAAGATGCTAGAAGTAAATATCAACGTGTTAACTGAAATTATGAAGTGTGCATTACCGTGTCACTGATTTGCATTTATAGACAGCAGCTAACAGGCTAAGAGGCGTGTTCCGATGATAGATGAATGCCAGGGTACCACAAGGTCTGAGTATAACCCTGGTAGTTTTTTAATGATAGGCAATGACTAAATTAACGTGTGTATTCCCGGACACTGGACGGTCGACTATTAGTAGGACTGCAAATGTGTAGTGTTTTGCTCTACAGTCATGTTAAAAGGCACAGCTGCGTTATTTTAGCTAACCATGACTCATGGTTTCGTCATAAACCAAATATTGATGACGTCTTGAACTGATCTAGTCCTGTTGACAGCACAGTGTTTTCAGGTACGGGAGAAAATTATTTCTCTCAATCTTAACAGTAATAACTATGGTCAAGCAGATTACTCCTTAGTAACAAATTAAGAAATAATTGCGTACACACAGCTTGATCATGTTGATATCAAATATCCAATTTGTGGAACCGAGATTGAGAGATCATTGGGACAAATAACAAGGTCATCTCTGAGACAGTCTTTTTGTCCCTACAGTTGACTGCCTTAAGATAGTTCTAACTTTCCATGCGTTAGATCGTTCGTTCATAACATATATCGGCAGTGTGTTAGCGATTATATTAACCTTTAAATCCGCAGTATCCACAGTTTCCTCAACGACGAACTCCATCTTGATTTGCAAATAATATTATCTGTACGAACATGACAAGTCTTGAAATAATATTGTTATAATTTCCGTAACAAGGTATATCGTATGATTTTTTTTATTTGCATTGAATTCATCTTTTTACAATAAGTTGGTGGTATTTAATTGAAGTTATGTATTCATATTTGAATAATTGTTTTCAATAGTCACATTTCATATATATACAATAAGTTGTTTTCATAATACTATGCACATGTTTGTTGATTCCAAGGCAGGAGAGGTAAGCTTGCCGGAAGTTGATAAAGGGGATTTCCCAAATGATTATCCGGTTGGATCTGACGGAGAAATGTGACGACAACGTGTCTCCACTACTAGAACAAAATGCCAGGTACCTTTTATCAGTACCCTTTACTCTATTTTAATATACCTACAATTTGTTTTAATCGCATCACCACGATTTTGCTGTTGCAATGCTGTCATCGTTTGCAAAATAGCTTCGTGATTGAACACGTCCACGCATCATCAGCTGATCACGACAATGTGCTTATTTTCACTGAACATTAGAAACAACATCTACACACTAAAGTAAAAAAACGAAATACCTGATAACTGTTATTAACTGCAAAAAACTTTTTTATAACCACTATTATTCGTTTTAACTGGTACTGCCAAGCATGAGGAAGACCTGAGCCTTGTTATTTGGCCAAACCATGGACACTTAAGATATTTAGGGTCCATGGCCAAACCCATGTCACTGGGACAAATGATGAAACCTATAGGCCTACAACTTTGAACACAGTTGAGGTTGAATAAAAGCATAAAGGCGATGTTTCTTTTTTCTTTTAAAATAATAATATTGAGTACATTTGCTATTCGACATTATGGTATCCTTCAAAGCTGCTAATGCTGCTTTTCTTCATGTGAAATTCTTTTTGAAAGTTTTGACAAAGTTTATGTTATTTTGAGGTAAGGAACTAATTGTAGTTACCATGGTTACATACAAATGCTTTCTGAAAAGAGTTGATAACACATTGTGAATTAGCCCCTCAGACTAAAAAACATTCCTGAAAAGTTTTCAAATATCTTTCACACAATGTCTATGAACACTTAATTGTTCTGTTTCAGGCAAGACAAAGGTGTCTTCGGCTCGGGAGGCTAAGATGTGTGTGTCGTGTTTGCGGACATCCAGCCAGTCCTATGCCTGTGCCCGGTGCTACCTTGTCACCTACTGCTCTCAGCGGTGCTGTGAACAACACTGGTCCAAACACAAAGATGACTGCAAGTTTGTCACCTGGCACCGCAAACATGTTGGGTGGAACTTCTGTCACTCCTGCTTCGTGCACGCCTGTCCACATGCCTCCTCCAAGCTGAAGAGATGTGGAGGATGTTTGAGAGTAAGCATACGTCCATCACAGCATGCACAGATATCGACTGTTTGTGATTTTAGGCATCCTCGATTATTCAGTGATTGTATACTATTGATATAACCCTGGACCAATGCACGACATAACCTTTATTTCGGATATCATGTCACTATCTCCAGCTGCCATATCACCAACTTCATCTTCCCGAGGCAAGTGAGTGAGTGAGTATGGTTTTACGCTGCTTTTAGCAATATTCCAGCAAAATCACGGTGGGGGACACCACAAATGGGCTTCAAACATTGTACCCATGTTGGGAATCGAACCTGGGTCTTCAGCGTGACGAGCGAATGCTTTAACCACTAGGCTACCCGACCGCCCCTCCCGAGGCAAGAGAGTTAACTGACTTTAAAAGTCCAGTTTCCACCCTTGCCAAACTAGGCTGGAATTCCTGGGCTTGATCGTAGTGCCACCAGTGGCTATTACGAGTTATGTCCTTTCTATGCCTCTCCTATTGACCAATCAGATTTAACCTCTCGTATCACTTGCATTTGTTTCAAACAAAACGGTGGCGCCCAGTCAAGACGATCTGATTGATAATCACGATCTATATTGTGATCAAACGAGTCTTACATCCCGAAGTGCATCGAATCACGTAAGCACCTTGATTAAAAACATGAAAAGATTTAGAAAATATCTGTTGACAACGAGTTTGCTGTGCACATGCTTTGCAAATCCTGCAGTCGACCGAAATCTGCATGACACTTTACGAACCGGATTTCGATTTCGGTGCACGATTTTGATTGGACTATGCATGGACTTGTTAGTCCAGCCAAAATCTACTCCATAATACCAGCCTAGTTCGGCAAGGGTGGAAACTGGACTTTTATAGTCAGTTAACTCACTTGCCTCGGGAAGATGCACCAACTTAATTACCAACCATTTATCAAAAATAATTTATAGTCCCAGAAAAGTCTTGAAAAAGATAATTATGCTTCAGGCAGTAGAAAAAAAAATTGTCTGCCACAAAATCAACATTATTGCATGGTGTTTTTCTTGAAAAAAATTCATCCAAAATTTTTCTTTCAAATTACTCATGAATATCTTTTCATTTGACGCTCAATTTTATTTGTCTGTGGTTGTAGTTCCTACAAAATTTGTATGTTTGTCAGGTGGAACCCTTGTGTTGGGTGTTGAGGATTTTTTATAAAGAATTGAACTTCAATAAGCAATAATATCAAACATTATTATTTACAAACTGCAGTGATATAACTGGTTTAGCTGACTGTGGCACAAAACAGCATTCACTCACTAATATTTAAAAATGACATACAATCAACTGACATATGGACAATGAAACAGATGTATAAGATTGTCCACGAACTAACAATTATTTTGAAAAACATACATCTTTTTGTTTTTGCGCTTTAAGTGAAAAGATGGATATAATAACAAAAGTCAAGTTTCCTGTCTAAATCAATGAAAGCACAAAGGGAGACATTCAAAAGGTAAACATGGGTTTTCGGACATATCCCTTCCTCTCTCAAATGTTGATTGTTGGATAGAAAACCTCCACACACACACATAAGCTTAAGGAATGAGGATTCTTATCAGACTGTTTTCACCTCCACCAGGTGAGCTATTGTTCTCGAGAATGTCAAGACAACGACTGGCGGTATCACGCTCCAATCTGTACAAACGACAAGAACCGAGATAAGCCGAAATACACAACCAGGTTGGAGGACCTGCCATCGGAGATACACGAGCGGGACTTGCAGGGTCGCGCAATCAACACCAAGGCAGATGAAGAGGCGGAGAAAGCCAGTTCCAAGAAGAAAGGCAAGAAGAAACAGATGCCTCTGACAGAGGAGAACTCTGATGGTGGCGAGCTAGAGACGCAGCTCACGAAGGAGAAGCAGTTCCGACTTGAGCTGCAGACGTTGCGGCAGAAAGAGGAGGAGGTGAAGAGGCAGCAGCAGCTCCGCTTCCAGTCCCAGACGGAGCGAGAAGGATCCATGGAGCCGGAAATGTGGGAGAAGAAATGGAAGCAGAGTAAGAGAATCCCCAGTCTGCAAGCAAAGGGACAGACTCCCTCTCATGTAAGTACATGTCAGCTACTCTTACATGTAAGTATTCGTCAGCTATCCTCTAATGTAAGTATTCGTCAGCTACTCTCTCATGTAAGTACAGGTCAACCTCTCTCTCATGTAAGTATTCATCAGCTACTCTATCATGTAAGTATTCGTAGCTACTCTCTCATATAAGTATTCGTCAGCTACTCTCTCATGTAAGTACAGGTCAACCTCTCTCTCATGTAAGTATTCATCAGCTACTCTATCATGTAAGTATTCATCAGCTACTCTATCATGTAAGTATTCGTCAGCTACTCTCTCATGTAAGTATTCATCAGCTACTCTCTCATGTAAGTATTCATCAGCTACTCTCTCATGTAAGTATTCATCAGCTACTCTCTCATGTAAGTATTCGTCAGCTATTCTCTCATGTAAGTATTCGTCAGCTACTCTCTCATGTAAGTATTCGTCAGCTACTCTCTCATGTAAGTATTCGTCAGCTATCCTCTCATGTAAGTATTCGTCAGCTATCCTCTCATGTAAGTATTCGTCAGCTACTCTCTCATGTAAGTATTCATCAGCTACTCTCTCATGTAAGTATTCATCAGCTACTCTCTCATGTAAGTATTCATCAGCTACTCTCTCATGTAAGTATTCATCAGCTACTCTCTCATGTAAGTATTCGTCAGCTACTCTCTCATGTAAGTATTCGTCAGCTACTCTCTCATGTAAGTATTCGTCAGCTACTCTCTCATGTAAGTACTCATCAGCTACTCTCTCACGTAAGTATTCATCAGCTACTCTCTCATGTAAGTATTCGTCAGCTTCTGTCTCATGTAAGTACAGGACAGATAGACTATTTCAGACACGCTAGAACGTGTGTTGTGTTTAAGACTCACTGGAACGTGTGTTGTGTTTCAGACTCACTAGAACGTGTGTTGTGTTTCAGACTCACTAGAACGTATGTTGTGTTTCAGACTCACTAGAACGTGTGTTGTGTTTCAGACTCACTAGAACGTGTGTTGTGTTTCAGACTCACTAGAACGTGTGTTGTGTTTCAGACTCACTAGAACGTGTGTTGTGTTTCAGACTCACTAGAACATGTGTTGTGTTTCAGACTCACTAGAACGTGTGTTGTGTTTCAGACTCACTAGAACGTGTGTTGTGTTTCAGACTCACTAGAACGTGTGTTGTGTTTCAGACTCACTAGAACGTGTGTTGTGTTTCAGACTCACTAGAACGTGTGTTGTGTTTCAGACCATCCAGCAGACTCACTACCGTATCCGCATCTCCAATACCCCCCCGGTTCTCCACGAGGGCTTCCGGCGGAACGCAGACAACACTGCCAGCTACGAGGAGGAGATCGAGGAGAAGCAGCCAGATGGCACCATCACCATCAAGAAGACCTACATCACCAACGGGGTTATCGAGAATGATGCTCAGTTTAACGAGATCACACGGCAGTTTGGTATGGAGTTTTCCCATCACCCGGGCGGAACATTAGCAGATCCTGACTCCGATAGTGACTAATGGCAATACAGGATTTGTACAGGGTTGGTTAAATGTGTCAGTCTGTTAGATAAATGCCAGTCGGTTTTTTCAAGACAAGGAATTCAAAAATACTAGATGGGAACAGAGCTACAGATAAGCAGCGTATTTGCGTAAAATACCCCCCCCCCCAAAAAAATTATTTAAAACCCAATTACTTTCAATTAACTTACGTACAGAAACGCATGCATTACATGAAAAACTCAAATGTTTAAAAACAGCTCACGTTAATACACAATGAAGCTTTTTCAGCATGTGTACAAAGGAGCTAATTTCCGAAACACAATTACAAGCTAATTTACTTTCTGAGTCAAGCCTATATATTTAGAACAGTTAAGACATTATTTCAATTATTTTTTTTAATCTTAAAATAATCACTTATTTTGGGAAAAACCTAATGGAAGGATGTACAGATGAGTGAAAAAATATAGGTTACCCATTGAAAAATGTAATAGCCCAATTCATTTAAGATAGAAACCCTAGATTTAAAACTCAATTGTTCAAAAAGTTATCAGGAGGAAATAATAAAGAGGCAATGGTGTTTCATTCATCTGTACTCAAAGAACAGAAATCTACAGAATATTGGAAATTTGAAGACAAGGTAAAGGATTCAGATTACATTTGAAGCCTTGGTGTGAAGAATGAGTGAAACTGTTAACTGCTGTTATAATGTTGTCCATGTGTTCTATCTCTGGACCCGGGGTTATTTAGAGGCACTTGCCCTGTTGGGAATCTGCTGCATACCAGCAGCCAGGCCCTACAACTATGACCCTGGGCCCCGTTCCTCAAAGCGATCTTAGCGCTAAGATGATCGTAAGTCCCATACTTTAACATAGGCTTACGACAATCATAGCACTAAGATCGCTTTGTGGAATGGGACCCTGGGCCCCGTTCCTCAAAGCGATCTTAGCGCTACGATGATCGTAAGCCTATGTTAAAGTATGGGACTTACGATCACCTTAGCGCTAAGATCACTTTGAGGAACGGGATCCTGGTAAGGCTGTGCTAAGCTGTAGGAGTTCTTAAAGTTGCAGAGTATGTGCTTAGAGGGGCCTGTTTGGAGTCTTAGACTTTGTATTTGAGAGTGGTGTTCCATCCCTCAGCCTTAACCTCAAACTTCCCACAGCAACAAAGTTAGAACTCAGCAAAAGCATTATGATTTAAGCTGTGTACATACACAGAATATTTTATGAATGAAAAGTATATAGCCCTTAATGATTATGTAATGATATATATGTATATTATCCATGGGTTATAAAACTCCCTACGCAACAATGTTCAAAACAAACTCTGTTCACCGAGCAGTGGCTGGGTACCCAGTAGTATCAGGTGGTAATGTTCCAACACCTAGTGGGCAGCCTGGCTTATATACTCCCCAGGAAGTTGAGAATAGTTTTGAGCGTAAACTGTAGTAATAATGCCAAGTGGAGCATACCCCACTGTGGAATCCTGTACACTGTTATTTATGATCATTATCAGCAACCTTGTACCCTATGAGCCTGTATTGAAGGATCAGTGCACAGGCAATGAAGTGATGACAGCCTTGTTGCAGTGTTTCTCCAGGTCAGACGACATCATGCATAGCTACCTTCTAGCTCAAATAGCAGTTTTATTTTCGACAAGTTATAACTATGAAAAATAAGTATGTCTCATTCTGTGAATATTTCACGTTGGCAGGATCAGTGTATAACTAAATGCCATCGTGACTCACAACAAATGAGCACAATAATTTCATCATTCACAGTCCAAAATATTGAGTTCTAGATTTGCATGCTCGTTGTTTCCCAAAGTTTGCAAAACAGGCATTTGTTAGAAAGTCGAAGATTAATCAGTAAAGCTAAATCACTGGAGACAGATAACCTGTGTAATTGCCTAAAACATGCACTGTAAATCATCATTAGCCAATCAATTTAGAGTTACTTGTGTACAAATACATTGAAAAACTTTAAAAAGGCAATAGTTTAACAACACTGTGCATAATTAGCCAATGTAGCTTTTTCAGATTGTGTATAGGTACCTGTATGTCTTCACAGATCATTACTTGCTGATGGTACAGGCATTGTGTATACAGGAACTCTATGTCAGTCAAGGGGCGGTCGGGTAGCCTCGTGGTTAAAGCGTTCGCTCGTCACGCCGAAGACCCGGGTTTGAATCCCGACATGGGTACAATGTGTGAAGCCCATTTCTGGTGTCCCCCGCCGTGATATTGCTGGAATATGCCTAAAAGCGGCGTAAAACCAAACTCACTCACTCACTCTTCTTCAGTCAACAATTTTTAAAAAAAGTGCGCCGTCTCTCTTTTTGTAACTTAGAAATGTATTTCTGTCGTGAATTGTGTCATGTGTGACTCACTAATGTTTCTATGCATAGTCCAACCAAAATCGCATTACGAACTCGACATCCGGTACCTAACCTGCTGTGCAGATTTCAGTCGATTGCAGGATTTGCAAAACATGCGTACCTCCAACTCGGCATTGACAGATATTTTTCAAAACTTGTTTTCTTGTTTTTAATCAAGCCGCTCAAATTATTTGATGTACTTTATGAGGTAAGACCTGTTTTAATACAATATAGATCTTGATTATCGATCAGATCATCTTTACTGGGCGTCGCCATTTTATTTAAAGCAAATGCAAGTTTATATGATAGATGGAATCTGATTCATCAGTACGAGAAAAATAGAAGGTACATAACTCGTAATAGCCACTGGTGGCGCTATGATCAAGCCACACAATTCTGGCCTACTTCGGCAAGGGTGGAAACTGGACTTTTACAGTCAGTTAACTCCCTTGCCTGGGGAACATGACAGTACTTGTTCTTATGTCATTTTAGTTTTATCACAGAATTTCATGACATTATATAAAGTATTGGAAATGAATACATGTCTGTTGAATATTCACGAGGGTGAATATTCGTATGAGACTGGCAAACTATTCAATATGAGTGGGTGCTGGAATAAGATTCTGTGTTTACTGCTGGTATGAACATGTAAATATACATTCCATTTAAAGGGAAATTGTTTTTATGAAGCATGAAGATTTCATTCAAGCAAAGTTGGTGTGGAATAACACCTTCAAGATGAATCTACAAGATGATGACATTATTATCTAGATTTGAAACAATATTTTCCTGGAGGAAGTGAACACACCACTGCTGAAGCAATCACCGCCTGTTGACCAGGTTGAAATGTGGACTTTCTGTTGCTGTGTGTTACTGCACTGACGTGAATGTGGGCCTGGTGTTACCATCATAGTGAATTGTTAGATAGGCATTACTTACAACTTGACGGATGACAAAGTAGACACAATTTATGAAAAACAACTTCTTTAATTACTGTAAAGGCGACGTTTGGGTATAAATCCTTATACACTTGTCAAGAAAGACTGTTTTGACATGGGTATAAGGATCTATACCGAAACGTCACTTTACAGAAATTAAAGAAGTTATTATCCATAAATTTCCTCTAATTTACAATGAAATTGTTGTCACTTTTGAAGACATTGTATATTTTATTTGCTTCAGGGGGGGCACAGGTGGCCCAGTCGTCTAAGGCGCCACAATTCGCTGTGCAGAGTTGCGTCCCTTGGGCACGCTAGAAACCTATGATTGTGGGTTTGATTCTCGGTTCGCCCTGATTATGTTTCTAGGTTTGTCAGCACCATACCCATGCTCGTGGGCTTCACTGAAGTGATGCAGGTCTCAGACGTTTACCACTTCGGTGAAACATACGAGCATGGGTATGGTGCTGACAAACCTAGAAACATAATCGGGGTGAACCGGTAAACGTCTGAGACCTGCATCACTTCAGGCTTTCCTCCAACATTAAGCTGACATGCCGTGATATAACTGGAATAATGTTACAAGCGGCATTAAACACAACTCACTCACTCACTATTTGCTTCAGGATTGTGATACTGTGTGTATATTAGCAAATATATTGATTATTTAGATTATCAACTGATCACGCTGAGTGAGCCTCACCAGTCAATCTCATGAATGTCAGATTTGCTGATACTCCAGTTTGATGCCTCTGTGTGTGAACATTCACCAAACGGGGCGGTCGGGTAGCCTAGTGGTTAAAGCGTTCGCTCGTCACGCCGAAGACCCGGGTTCGATTCCCGACATGGGTACAATGTGTAAAGTCCATTTCTGGTGTCCCCCGCCGTGATATTGCTGGAATATTGCTAAAAACGGCGTAAAACCATACTCACTCACTCACTCACATCCACCAAACCCTCCACAGGCGACACTTCAGTGAAACTAACAATCAGCTAATCCATGGCGCAGCTTCTATATTCTTGTTAGGATCTAGCAAAGCTTTCAGAGCTGCATCACTGGTTTCTGTATCTTGAAAACAAACATTAACAGACCAATGAAAACAGTAAATGCTGCCAGATTATGTTGTGGATATTTTATACACCAATCATTTCTCAGTGCCATAGCATCGCCACCCAAAAGATGAACTATCGAGAATATATTTGTGTTGTTTGGGTTATCTTTGGTAAGACTAAAAAAATTAATAGTCTTGGTTCTCAGGCACTGCCCTCATCATCATAAAGTTTGCCGCACGTTTCGGTTTTATTTCCATTTTATATTTTTTTAGAATATCCCAATACTTTTAAAAATGCGAACGTTTATTTGGTTACATACTAGTTTGGACAGACAACAACAAAAAATCATCACCCGCCTGCACTATGTTTTCAAAAGTCATTGCCTGAGAACCAATTCTTTTCTTTTTTTTAAGCCTAGTGATCAAATTTATTTTTTTCTGAAATGGATGTGGTCAAGAAATGAAACTGAATCTGATTGGTGGTCAAAGTTGGCTCTAGGTTCATGGATGTGACCTGTGGAGGATGGTGTCAAATCTTCATGCACAGAGGTATCTTGACAGGGTCATGGATCTGTTTTTAATGGCATGTTGTTACAAGTCAATTTATTTCCTATATCATATTTCTTAATCAACTAAACAGAAAAAAGGACCTAATGTTTCATGTGTTCCCCGGAGCTTGTACATTGCCACGTCTCTTTCTCTTGTCAGGCACGACCCTGTTGTCTCTGCAGTTGTCTGTGCAGAGTTGCTACCCTTAGCTGGGCCAGGATCCTGTTAACATTCTAGCTGCTTGTGTTGTATTCACAGAGAGAATGTGAACTGAGAATGACACTTGAGAGCACACTGATCCATTGAGCAGTGTACTAACAATGTAGCGCTCACTATAAGCATCCTGGAAAGCAGAAATTTTGCGCTGTAGAAATGTACTCGTTCTAGAGGGAATGACTGAAACATCCTTGTATATATTCATAATTGTACATACCTCCATACGTCACAAGCTGTATATTTATTCCACTTCCATGTTTATCATGTTGATACATGTATTGATATGCATCATTAATTATCAGTTTTGATATAACTGAGATTTGGAGATACGTTGACGAGTGCCTAAGGCCACAATGAATTAATTATCAGATTTTCATCCATTTATTATCAGATGATTTAGAAAAATTGATAGTCACAACAAGGCAGTCTCCAGAATGAATCTGTTGTGGTAAATAATATGTAAAATGGCTTACATACCGTATTCGACGTAATAAACCCCCACGGCAATATTTGTTAATATATTGGCTAGTGAACAATCGCTATTAGCACCCATTCCGATTGATCAATGTACACAAGACATATATTCGTGTATAATACGTGTGTTATATGCATTCTTAATTTTAGGAAATTAAATTCTGGAAAAATATATCTGTCGTATATAAACATTTCAGGCTGTCAGCATAAACCACGAAATTTACGATCTGACAACTCTGTTGTTTTTCACCAAAATAATATTCTGATAAGAGCCCCCTATTTCTAATTTTGAGAGCGCCCTGGGCGCTTATTATGTCGAATACTGTAGTTGTAGTGAGATGTGCTTGGGATGAAAATCTCTTATTCAATTCATGACGGCTTAAAATACAGAATTGTGATGAATTTTACAAAGGTTTTAAAGTTGCTATTGGAATTTTTAACCTGAATATTTTACTATGGGAGTTTATGTGTACCGGTTACATATTTTTAAAGGTGTTTGTCTCTGTTTGGAAACAGAGAACATATTATTGGTTAATAGTATTAATACTTAATACTGTTCATAAGATATTTTAATTAAATATTTTTCTTTGTACATTTGTGTGTTAATACTTTTTATTCCACAGGGGACGGGAATTTATTCATTGCAATCCATTGCTAAATAATGCGAGCATAATGAAGTGAAAATTGAGAGCAGCATAATGTACAGTCATGCCATCCTGTCAAGTGTATATCTGCTGTGATTCATAATTCATGCCACATTGAATTAATTCACGTGACGAAGAATGATTTGGTAAAAGTGGAATCTGTTAATCCAAGATTTGTGTAAATATGAATATGGTGTAGGTATGGCTAAGGCTCCTATGTAAGTCAATTTTGGTTTGTTTCTTTTCCACAAGAGTTTTACAGTTTTAACAAACTAGTTGACAGTCACTTTTTAATCAGTTACAATTGACCTATACTGTATTTACATAGTAGAGAATAACATCTTATTGATTGGCTGTTGCAACATGTGTAATGGTGTTTAGAATTAGAATGAAATATTTTTAGTGAATTGGTGACAATATTCACCAAGCTTCTGTTAGATCAGCTATCTTTTTGACAAACTGTAAAAGCCAGGTTTTAGGGAAATATTATTTATGATGTGACTGCCTTTAAACATCTTTATACAAGAAGACTGGAGAAGTAGCTGGTTTAGGTTCCTGTTGTAAATTGTTGTAACAAAATCTCAATCTTCTGCATTCCAACTTAGTGATCACGGAGAGAGACTTTTAGAATAAGTTTCTGTGAATGTTGAACATGAAATTCGAGGTGTCAGTAAGATGGCAACTCAATGAACAAAGGCTTGTCATAAAGTTGATGTTATGTCTTGTGTCATTGGATTGTTGGATGCAGTGTTCTAAATTATGCAGAACCTGTTGAATAAAGTGGAATGATTCTTGTCGTGTTTTTTTGTGTTTCTGTAACAACAAGTGGATCCTGCATGAGGCACTCTACCACTACACTGGGTCAGACTGTTCCCAGAGGTCACTGGGATGGAGCCCGTTACCAGAGTACACTGGGGTGGAGCCTGTTACCAGAGATCACTGGGATGGAGCCTGTTACCAGAGATCACCGGGGTGGAGCCTGTTACCAGAGATCACTGGGATGGAGCCTGTTACCAGAGATCACTGGGATGGAGCTTGTTACCAGAGGTCACTGGGATGGAGCCTGTTACCAGAGGTCACTGGGATGGAGCTTGTTACATGAGGTCACTGGGATGGAGCCTGTTACCAGAGGTCATTGGGGTGGAGCCTGTTACCAGAGGTCACAGGGATGGAGCTTGTTACCAGAGGTCATTGGGGTGGAGCCTGTTACCAGAGGTCGCTGGAATGGAGCCTGTTACCAGAGGTCACTGGGATGGAGCCTGTTACCAGAGATCACTGGGGTGGAGCCTGTTACCAGAGATCACTGGGATGGAGCCTGTTACCAGAGTACACTGGGATGGAGCCTGTTACCAGAGGTCGCTGGAATGGAGCTTGTTACCAGAGGTCATTGGGATGGAGCCTGTTACCAGAGGTCACTGGGATGGAGCCTGTTACCAGAGGTCATTGGGGTGGAGCCTGTTACCAGAGGTCACTGGGATGGAGCCTGTTACCAGAGGTCACTGGGATAGAGCCTGTTACCAGAGGTCACTGGGATGGAGCCTGTTACCAGAGGTCACTTGGATGGAGCCTGTTACCAGAGTACACTGGGATGGAGCCTGTTACCAGAGATCACTGGGATAGAGCCTGTTACCAGAGTACACTGGGATGGAGCCTGTTACCAGAGATCACTGGGATGGAGCCTGTTACCAGAGGTCACTGGGATGGAGCCTGTTACCAGAGGTCACTCGGGTGGAGCCTGTTACCAGAGGTCACTCGGATGGAGCCTGTTACCAGAGTACACTGGGATGGAGCCTGTTCCCAGAGATCACTGGGGTGGAGCCTATTCCCAGAGGTCGCTGTGACGGAGCCTGTTACCAGAGATCACTGGGATGGAGCCTGTTACCAGAGGTCACTGGGATGGAGCCTATTCCCAGAGGTCGCTGTGACGGAGCCTGTTTCCAGAGATCACTGGGGTGGAGCCTATTCCCAGAGGTCGCTGTGACGGAGCCTGTTTCCAGAGATCACTGGGATGGAGCCTGTTACCAGAGGTCACTGGGATGGAGCCTGTTACCAGAGTACACTGGGGTGGAGCCTGTTACCAGAGTACACTGGGGTGGAGCCTGTTACCAGAGTACACTGGGATGGAGCCTGTTACCAGAGGTCACTGGGATAGAGCCTGTTACCAGAGGTCACTGGGATGGAGCCTGTTACCAGAGGTCACTGGGATGGAGCCTGTTACCAGAGTACACTGGGATGGAGCCTGTTACCAGAGTACACTGGGGTGGAGCCTGTTCCTTGAGATCACTGGGGTGGAGCCTGTTCCTTGAGATCACTGGGATGGAGCCTGTTACCAGAGGTCACTCGGATGGAGCCTGTTACCAGAGTACACTGGGATGGAGCCTGTTACCAGAGTATACTGGGATGGAGCCTGTTACCAGAGTACACAATCGGGTGGAGCCTGTTCCCAGAGATCACTGGGATGGAGCCTGTTACCAGAATACACTGGGCTGGAGCCTGTTCCCAAAGTTCTCAAGACATTTTGAGTCAGTTTCAGTCTTTTATAGACTCCAAACTGTAATCATCACTTGTGTTTACATGTTACACGCGACTGAAGATATGAATGTCCATGTTTTATTTGTTAGTTTGTTGTTTAACGCCACACTCAGCAATATTCCAGCTATATGACACCGATGTAAATAATAGAGTCTGGACCAGACAATCTAGTGATTGATGTCCTTAGCATCGATTCACGCAAATGGGATATGATGACGTGCAGCAACCAAGTCAGCAAGCCTGACCATAGTCGCCTCTTAGATAAGCATAAGTTGCTGAAGATCTATTTTAAAACTTCATGGGTCTATGTGAGATGGGATCCAACATAGCTCCACGTTTCCCGATATGTATCCTCCATGTTCTATATAAACTACAGTAAACTACGGTTATAACGAACACGCTTATAACGAACTGATGGATATAACGAACTAACTTTTTAGTCCCAACTATTTGCCGTAGTTATGCTGTATATATGCTTATAACGAACTACGGTTATAACGAACTAAAAATAGTGGTCCCTATTGAGTTCGTTATAACCGTAGTTTACTGTATTTGTGCAATAACTGAAAGACAAAAATGTACCTGAGAGAAGAGTTTGGGGATCAGCTATCTACTGAGACTCCATCTTCTGTTGTTCCTGTTGTCAAAACATAACGACCCTTTTATCTTCACATTATGAAAACAGACTCAAGAGAACTGAGTACAATACCATTCATCACCACTCGCCCCTTTCCGTAACCTGTCCCGGAATAACCATTCGTGATCAAATCGTGTTATTCCGGGACAAGCCGAACAGCGACTCGTGCCCCTCTCGTGGCCATTTGTGCGACTTATTATACACAGTACGACAGAACACATTAATCTGTATCTTGGGTATATTTATAAATGCAAGACATATGTAAAATCAAACATTATTCCTGAGGGATTCTTTGACCTTTCCTACGCGCATGCTGATTGGTTTGTCGTATTTTCGCACATAACATTCATCGATAGGGGGACGAGTCTTCTTGCAGGTTACGGAAAGGGGCGAGTGGTGACGAATGCGGTTATGATAAAACATTGATCAGACAAATGTCCAAATATTTTATTATTTTAAGTAGGTTATCATTTTAACACCACTTTATTTGAAGCCTAGTTACTTTCTCCGTTAGTATATGATAATCGTTTATAATAGTCGAAGGACACACTCCAGACGACAAGGGACCTAGCCTTCCCGTTACATGGAAGAGGTCAGCGAGGTACGGGGCGGGTAGAAACCGAGAGAGTGGTCTCAGCAATGACATCTTTCAATGGGTGAACAGAAATTACTGTCCGCGGATTCCAGAAGACCATCCTTCCTGTTCCTGTCTCCAGACGTGAAGTAGATCTGCCCCCGACCAGTTTCAGACAACCTTGTCTGGTTCTCGGCGACACGGTTCTTAACTTTATCACCGAACTGAACCTGCAATACCTCGGAGACGCTTGTGTCATCCATTTAGAAAATAAACTTTTTATGTGCCTTCAAATATATATGTTGTTTGTTTGTTTGTTGTTTAACGCCGCACTCAGCAATATTCCAGCTATATGACGGCGGTCTGTAAGCAATCGAGTCTGGACCAAACAATCCAGCGATCGACAACATTAGCATCGATCCATGCAATGGGATATGATGGCATGTATCAACCAAGTCAGCGAGTCTGACCACCGATCCCGATAGTCGCCTCTTACGACAAGCATAGTCGCCTTTCGCGTCATGCAAGGGGTTGCTGAAGACCTATTCTACCCCGGAAATTCCTGGAACTCAAATATATACCATTAGCCAAAAAGACTGCTGTTTTATGACTGTTAAAAAGACCCTGACGCTCCCATGTCTCCTAAGAAAACATCGGCCAAAAGCACTACAAATCTTACGAAGATGACCTCACCGCCTATTGATTTTGGACCCATGCGTAGCAAAAGTCGCTCTCGTGGCACCTCCCCACGGAAAACAGAAAGTTACAGACATAAATCACTTAATCAAGTTTATTACTAGCCCTTTATCAATTTTGGAAATTTTCACTTTGCATCAATAACAATTCGAATGGTCACACTTGTACCTCGAATGGTCACACTTGTACCTCGAATGGTCACACTTGCACATCGAATGGTCACACTTGTACCTCGAATGGTCACACTTGTACCTCGAATGGTCACACTTGTACATCGAATGGTCACACTTGTACATCGAATGGTATCACTTGTACATCGAATGGTCACACTTGTACCTAAGTGTTTGTAATGATACAATCAACATTTTGCAATCAAATCTAGAGTTCTCAAATATTCAGGTTTACAAAAGTTTTACTTATAATGCAGTGATTGATAGTCACAACCTCTCCCTAAGAAAACAAAACTGAGACTCAGTGTTCTGCACTACGGAAGCCTTTTAGGGCCATTTTCAAAACAAAAAAATTCTTGAAATTTCAAGCTATTAAGTTGAAATTTCAAGATAATAAGTTAACATCCTAAGATATAAAAATACGTTTGAAGTGAATAATCTTGAAATTTCAAGATGATGATCTGATATTTCAGCTTCTGTATCTTGAAATTTCAAGAAAACAAGAAAAAAACAAAGGGCCCTTAAAGTTTCCGTGGTGCACACCTACAGGTTAGACACATTAATATTTGAGCGTACCGTAATGAAAATCCATCAACAATTGTACATGAACAAAGGCCTTTGAAGCCATTGTACGTGGCCTATCATGCTATATTTAGAAATGACGCGAACATTGGGCAACACGAACAGATCCGAGTTACCGTTCTTGCTTATAGATCAGGAAATTACGCCTTCTATTTTCGCTTTCGTTTCAACGTTGTGTGTGACTTCTCGGAATCTGGAACAGACGCAATGACAGCGATCTGGTCGCAGGCCGAGACATATCAGTCATTCCATCAACGTGTGCTACACTGGAGGTAAGGTGAGGTGAGGTGGGGTAAAATTGGATTTTACGTCGCGTCCAAGATTATTGCTCTTATACAGCGACGTTGATACACGCGTGTACATGCAAGTGTGGCTGCTTGTACTAGTACGATTGGTTGGTTTGTTGCTTTACGCCGCACTCAGCAATACTCCAGCTATATGACGGCGGTCTGTAAACTTTGCAGTAAGGACCAGACAATCCAGTGATTGATATCATGGTCAACATGCATCAACCAAGTCAGCGACCCTGACCACCCGATCCCGTTAATCGCCTAAGACAAGCATAGTCGCCTATTACTGCAAGCATGGGTTGCTGAAGACCTCTTCTACCCCGAATCTTCACGGGTCTAGTAGGACTGATGCCGACTTATAGTGCCAGCTCACTGTGATACCACGCCCCAGTTGAACATGAATACCCCACTCAGACACAGTATACTGACTTCGAGCCGACCAGTCCTTGTTTTAGCCCCTTAATGCTGAGCGCCAGACAGGATAGGAACAAGTACCATCTTTTAACGTATTTAGGTATGACGCGGACGGGGATCAAACCCCAAACCTTCCCCTCTCCGGGCAGACGTTCTACCACTAGACCACTGAGGCGGTCGTGTTACACTGAACTATCGTGTGCCTGTATGGAACATCTAGATGCAATGACAGGTATCAATCCAAATCAATTAACATCTGTCGCACCGTGTTCATTCTCGGAAAATGTCTACATGTAAATTCTAGCAACATTGCGCAAGAAACGATACTATAATCTCGTCAAGGTTGCTGAAAACACGAACTGTCACATATAATCAATGAATGTGAACAGTCATTGTCAATAATAGCTGTGTGTAATAATCATGTTCGTACCAAGATTTCGTAAGAGGCGACTAACGGATTCTGGGTGAGGGTGGTGTGTGTGTGTGTGTGTGTGTGTGTGTGTGTGTGTGTGTGTTATGATATGAATCACTGGATTGTCTGGTTCAAATTCGATTATTTACAGACCTCCGTCATATAGCTAGAATATTGCAGAGTGCGGCGTTAAACAACAAACAACACCATACTGCGTGTCATATCAGCGCTGGGGATGTCTCCACCGATAAGACACTCCTCACAGTATCGAGTTCCATTGAGTCTAAACTGAAAGTACAACATCCAGTGCCTTCGATCAATAGGGTTGAGCTGTAGTCAGCAGTACTCAGATAACGAGACCACCTACTAACACCTAATCTGGCGTCATGTGTAAATATAGAATGATTGTAATACACCTTGTTGCAACCGTATAAAACGCAAACTCACACCACCAAACTGACAGTAGAAGCTGACCGCCTGTAAGGACTACCTGACTGGTGACCCGTGAAGATCCGGGGTAGAATAGGTCTTCAGGAACCCATGCTTGCCGTAAAAGGCGACTATCGAGATCGGGTGGTCAGACTCGCTGACTTGGTTGATACACGCCATCGTATCCCAATTGCGTGGATTGATGTTCATGATGTCAATCACTGGATTGTCTGGTCCAGACTCTGTTATTTACCGACCGCCGTCATATAGCTGGAACATTGCTGAATGCGGCGTTAAACAACAAACAAACAAACAACGAATATACTTGAAGGCAAAAAGTTCATTTTCTAAATGGATGACACAAGCGTCAAAGAGGTATTGCAGGTTCGGTTCGGTGATAAAAAAAAGTTACTTCGCGTCTGGAGGCGGGAACAGGAAGAAGGGTCTTCTTGAATTGGCAGACGGCGTTAAACAACAAACAACTTGACCGGTGGATTGCGTATCGGCTTCACAGTATATATAGATTTATTTTGATATTAGATGTTAGGTGGTGAATTCAAGATTTGCACAGTAGAGAGACTTGTGTAAAGGTGGTTAAAAAGCTTGCCGTCAAGTGGTTTTATTCTAACATTTGTGTTTTTTTGTGAAGGCGTTTTCAGGCATTGCAGGTGATGTCAATGAAAGGTCGAAATCACCAGTGTGTCCTGCCCGTTTCCCTATTCGGGAAATTGTATAACGTTACCTTTGCTGCGTTTTTTATCTTTACAAAAATGATGGTCAGGATGTTCAATGACACCCAGTCTGGAGCAAAATCATACCACACAACGGTTACTGATCAGATAGTCTATGTGTGTAAACTACTCAAGTTTTGATAGGAATATTCCTATCAATCCATGATACACATAATGTATTCTTATGATTATTTGTACGTATATGTAAATAATATGAAATATTTCAGTTTACTAACATATGTAAGTTATATTTATTCAAATTGTGTTTTCAGAGTAATCTATCAATATGTCAACAAACAGTATGTGCAGCTTTTGTGAGAAGAAATCTCCCAAATTAAAAGCATGCTCCAAATGCCATCTAACTCCATATTGCTCAAAGGAATGTCAGAGGAAAGACTGGAAAAGGCACAAACTGTGGTGTGAAGGGATTCAGAAAAGTTTAAGCAGCAGAGAAGCTTCTCCACGAGAACTCGATGCAACAAATATAGAACGACAAATATCATCTCCTGGAGCTAACTCTGGTGGTCCGCATGAAGCCAAGGGAAAGAAGAGTCATGGAAACCACAATGGACCTGCCTCACAAGAAAGGAGAGCCTGCAACTGGTGCCAGAAGGTGTGTGAGGAGTATCAAAGATGCTCCAGATGCAAGACCACTCTGTACTGCTCACCCGTGTGTCAGAGAAAGGATTGGCTCGATGGTCATCAGAAGGATTGCAAGCCTTTGGTTCCACAGTCTGCATCTGCTCCACCCATGAAACAAAAAGACAAAGCTGCAGGCGAACACAGAGACCAAGCAAATGCAACAGAAGAAAATCCTCAGGGACAGGTTTCCTATTTGTGCGAATGGTGTCAGATATATATCGATTTACCCTTACGCTGTTCTGGATGTACAAGTGTTACCTATTGCTCAGAAGAATGCAAGATGAAGGATTGGGAATCAGAACACAAAATCAAGTGTGAAAGGAACAGGAAGCCAAAAGGGGTCAAGCAAACGAGTCCGTCCGAACCACCAGAAGCTGATCCATGTGATACCAGTACAGACCCACCAGTACCACATGGTGCTGAAGGTATGTCAACATTTTGTTCTTGGTGCCAAACGTTTCTTGATCATCCTATGAAATGTACAGGATGTAGAAAGGTTGCCTATTGCTCAAAGGAGTGTCAGAAGAAGGCATGGGCGAAGGATCATCATATGGTGTGCAAAGGGAAAACACAGCCCGGTGAGAAGACAGCTGAACTGTCCGCGGCTTCTACAAAAGACAGAGAGAAGGAAGGAGCAACTGCAGTGGCTGCGTCTGATGTTCCAGACTGTGAAATATGCCATCTATGCAAGAAGAGAGGCGATGGAATGAAGAAATGTGCTCGATGCAAGACAGTACTATACTGCTCAAAGACATGTCAGAGGATGGACTGGCCTCAGCACAAACTTGAATGCGTTACCGTTGATGGCGTCATCAAAACAAAGGAATTCCAGAAAGCTGAAGTAGAATCTCGTCGGGCTGCTGAAGCTGCTGGTGGACCTCGCATGATGTATGCTGACCTCTTGGCACAGATGATGGGATTCGGGCCAGCATTTGAACCTTCATTCAATGCCGGGCCAAGGATGGGCTGGTCAGAGGCTAAGCGTATAGCTGCAACAAAGTTTCTGGGTTATGACATTATAGACTCTCTCGATGAGTTACCCAGAGAATTCTTGTGGTTAACACCAGTTACTCAGAACCGAGTACTTTTGGTCAATATCAGTGGCTTACACCCATACCAAACGAGGCATGCCATCTACATAAAGGTATGTACTCGTCTGCCTAAGGATAATGATGTTCTGACCGATAAAACGAACTTACTTTTTAGTCCCGACCATTTGTTGTATAAATGCTGTATTTATGCTTATAACGAACTACGGTTATGACGAACTAAAATCAATTGTCCCTTCGAATTCGTTATAACCGTAGTTTACTGTAATAACAAGCAAGTTGATGATACATCTCTGTTTCAGGATGTGAACAAGGAGGAGACGTTTGTGATGTTCTACGTGGACTTCGACAGCCCCTACCCTTACTTCTCCTGGTCACAACTCACACCCGGCAACTACATCTGTATCGAGAACGCAGTGTTCCACAACTTCATGGATGGCACAACAGGCATCCGAGTTGATGAAGCGTCGGATGTCAGGATCATATGAGTTACATTCTTGGCTGCTCGTATGAGGTGAGGTGAGGTGAAATGGGGTTTAACGTCGCGTCCAAGATTATTGTACTTATATAGCGACGTGCATGCACGTGTGTGTATGGCTGCTTGTACTAGCCCGGACTGATGCCGATTTATAGTGCTAGCTCACTGAGATACCATGCCGCAGTTTAACATGAATACCCCACTCAGACACAGTATACTGACTCCGAGCCGACCAGTCCTTGTTTTAACCCCTTAATGCCGAGCGCCTGACAGGGTAACAACAAGTACCATCTTTTAACGTCTTTTGGTATGACGCGGTCGGGGATCGTACCCCGGACCTTTCGCTCTCCGGGCGGACGTTCTGCCACTAGACCACGGAGGCGGTCATTGCTCGTATGAACTGGAGGACTCTTTAAGTTCACATATCATTCAGATCGCTGGTGAAAGTTATTTTTAGTAACATTGCATATGTCCATGGCATCATAACGTGAAATTGTAAGAGATTATACTGTAAACATTTCGTGAGTTAGAGTTGACCCTGTTATTGTTTGTGACATATTTGTTCGTTTGAATATTCCGGATGTTCATTTGTTTATATTCAAAATGTTTTTTTTGTAGTTTAGTTTGAACTCACATTGGACTAATGTTAATGCGACAATGTAGGTCATGGCAAGTTGGCTGTGGTCAGTCGTGGGGCAAGGTTTGTAAACACCTTATTTGAAACTAGTTTGGGTGAACTAGTAGTTATCTCCCTTGTTTCATACACGAGCATGTGGAAACTCGCCAGGAGTTGGTGTTGAACCCATCTAAATAGAACATGTTGTTATGATATTTAAGTTATATTTTACCAAGCATCGTGGAATTGTGTTTTAATCTGTATATCATAATACCCTATCAGATGGAAGGGATCGTTTCTCAGTCTTCAAGCAATCAGCTTGTCTAGATTATTTATATGCGGCTGTGCTATAAGTTTAACCTTGCTGAAGTGTTTTCTTTTGTCGCTTTTATTTATAAATTAAAGGTAATTGAACCAGTTAGGTTACAGATGGTTGTGTTATGTGATTTACTAGCATTCTGTAAACTGTTTTGTGACATTTAGGATTTCAACACAATAATTTCCTGTCATTATTAGCCAATAAATGTTGCTTATTTATACCTTTGTGCGCAGGTGAAATATGTTCTGCACTTTGTTATAAAATGGGAGTTGCCGGCATCGCTTGTGTCCATAATTCCATAATTTCGAAGTTAAGAAGTAAATTGTAAAATCCCTCCAAATATATTTCTTTTCATTATTGCATATTTTATACAACCCGCACGGAAGACGCACCACATTGTCCATTACTTATTCAAGATCTCAATGGTTATTCATGCTAGAATGGGGTTCCAGTACTCCATGGTAAGACCCGGGTTCAAACACATCAGTGGTTACAAGGTATGCACTGACTGACGGAGTGTCAACTGCCCTAACGGCAAATGCTGCTCATGCTGTCTATGTTGTGATACCAGTGTCCACACGGTGAGCAGATTAAAGGCACCGATAACTACAGGAAAGACTATCAAATGTTAGTGAGTGAGTGAGTTGGGTTTAACGCCGCTTTTAACAGTATTCCAGTTATATCGCGGCGTGTCAGCTTAATGTGGGAGGAAAGCCCGAAGTGGTGCAGGTCTCAGACGTCTACCACTTCGATGCACGGGTATGGTGCTGACAAACCTAGAATCATAATCGGGGCGAACCGGGATTCGAACCCACAATCATAGGTTTCTGACGTGCCCAAGGGACGTAAATCTGCACAGCGAATCGCGGCGCCTTAGACGACTGGGCCACCCGTGCCCCTATAAAATGTTAACGTGCCACAGATAGATCATGTTAAGGGTTTGGTTGATAGTACACATTAATTCAGTTTTTTATTTCACCACCCAAAAGGGACCTTTGTAGCGATTACGTGTTTGTGGACACACTTTAAGTGGACGGCTAAGTGAATGAGTTTGGTATTATGCCACTTTCCATCTGAGACTAGAGCAACGATTTGCAAACCCTTGCGCCGTGATATGATCAATTTATAATGAAAAGTAGTTTTTGACATTTCAGAAGAATTCATCATTAATATTTATTTGTAGAATCAGTTTTGGACAGACATCTCAACAGAAAACAACCCTGTGACTTTGGCACCAGGTTAATTTGTCACTTGTCAAATAAAACACTGAAAGACATAATATTTATCATTTTACATAAACCAAGGACCTGAGAGAGCAACTGAATCCACACTCATTTGTCCACGGGGGTTCTACATGTCGTCTGAGTGTATGTGATTCAGGGGGTGCACCGGTAGCCCATTACTCGAAGGACCCGCAATTCGTTATGCCGATTGTGTCCCTTTGGGCTACAAGAAACCTATGTTCGTGGGTTCGAATCTTATATTCGCCCTGATGATTTAGGTTTGTCAGCACCATATTTGTGCCTGTGGGTTTTACAAAAGTGATTTCCGCACTAGACATCTTTCTTTCTTTCAACATGAAGTTGACACGATGTAATATAACCGGAATGCTGTTTTAAAATGGCATTAAACCCAACTCACTCACGTACGGAAGCAAACTGACTTTCTACTTTTCTCAAAAGTGGAAGAGGATTAAAGAATTAAAAAAAACATGACTACACGTGTTAAAAACGGGTGTACAGGTCTATCCTGTTGTTACAATGCGATCAATGTGATTGTCGATCTCACACAATACAATACTGCCTGCTCCATTCAATGAGAAGTTTTTTTACTTAGGACGGTATTACAAACAACAACCAACATGTTTTTTCTGCCAACGGGGCGGCGTGGTAGCCTAGTGGTAAATGCCGGAGGCCCGAATTCGATTCCCCACATGGGTGAAATGTGTGAAGCCCATTTCTGGTGACCTTCGCCGTGATATTGCTGGAATATTGCTACAAGCGGTGTAAAACCATACTCACTCACTCCACCAACAGTGAGCACTGACTAACCGCACCTGGTCATTTGACAAAGCCCAGATTTATGTGATATTCCAGTGTGTTGACACCGCTGTGGATGATTTCTGTACGTGTCCATATAGGCTGCTTAGATGTTTCATTAGCTGGATTCATGCGCTTATTGAGATTCTTTTCAGGGTAAAAAAACCCGGATGACAACAATACGTAGTAAAAGCATGAAAGTTTAACATGACAGGTCGACCGTTACTGATGTGTCGGTGAATCCTCGACATCTATTAGATCCCTATGAGTGGCACCGTGTTTTGTAATACCGCCTACAGTGTGTGTATAATGCACTATAGGCAAACAATGCCTTTGTCTCGACTTCTTTGGGTCAGGTTGTGTTGACATATCTTGCAACAATCAATTGAGAGAACCCTTTGTGCAGAACGTCAAATTGCATCTTCCCGAGGCAAGAGAGTTAACTGACTTTAAAAGTCCAGTTTCCACCCTTGCCGAACTAGGCTGGAATTCCTGGGCTCGATCGTAGCGCCACCAGTGGCTATTACGAGTTATGTCCTTTCTATGCCTCTCCTATTGACCAATCAGATTCAACCTCTCGTATCACTTGCATTTGCTTCAAACAAAACGGTGGCACCCAGTCAAGACGATCTGATTGATAATCAAGATCTATATTGTGATAAAACGAGTCTTACATCGCGAAGTGCATCAAATCACGTGAGCACCTTGATTAAAAACATGAAAAGATTTAGAAAATATCTGTTGACAACGAGTTAGCGGTGCACATGCAGTCGACCGAAATCTGCATGACAGTTTACGAACCGGATTTCGATTTCGGTGCCCGATTTTGATTGGACTATGCATAGACTCGTTAGTCCAGCCAAAATGTAACTCCATAATACCAGCCTAGTTCGGCGAGGGTGGAAACTGGACTTACAGTTATATCGCGGCGTGTCAGCTTAATGTGGGAGGAAAGACCGAAGGGATGCAGGTCTTAGACGTTTACCACTTCGGTGAAACCCACGAGCATGGTTAAGGTGCTGACAAACCTAGAAACATAATTTGGGCGAACCGGGATTCGAACCCACAATCATAGGTTTCTGGCGTGCCTAAGGGACGCAACTCTGCACAGCGAATCGCGGCGCCTTAGACGACTGGGCCACCCCGAGAGACAATCTGGCGAGCGTGACAGTAGCACGGGGCAATACAGATGGGAAAGTTGTCGAGGCCAGTATCATACATAGTAAAGATACGCGCAGGTCCACTACTAAATCCAAACAAGATGATAGATATATTCTGGAAATATAATAATCCTTCATATCATGGAATGTAAATAAGCTTTATTCAAAACTCAAAAGAATTTTTTTTTATAAAACCTTCGACATCATTACCTTCATAGGAACTTGGGCCAAAAATACCACACATTTTGAACATTTGAACATATTTCCCCAGAAACGCACACATACTGTGGGTAGATATAGCAGTGAAATCGCCGTATGTATAAGGAAGTCCACCCGACTACACAGTGAATTGACAGATTGTGTTTTCTATCTTACAAACGTACTGCCAAGGCCTCCCATTATACTGGATTTTGTATATGTGGCTGATATGATACTGCAACAGCAGCAGCTAATATGCGAGACTGCACTAGTATAGAATTCTTAGAGACATATTTTAAAAATAACTTTGTATTCATGAATAAATTGTGTATATATCAACTTGTTCTCGTCGCTATATGGCTGAAATAATGCCGATGCGGCGTTAAATTTTAACTCACTCACTCACTCTTAGAGACAAAACTGCATACACTGCGTAATTAATATCCAGGTACATGTACAGTAATAACCATTTTTGGTGCTGTGAATGCTCGTATAGGATCAGAACAAGGTTTTATAGAAGATGACTCCGTCGGTTATGACCCAATTGATGCGTTAAACGATGAATATGATGGCTTTGCTCTTTCAAGAAAGTCCACTATTATTAATGTCCAAGGTGAACAGTTACTCGATCTGTGTGTAAACATGAACATGCATGTACAAAATGGTAGGTCAGGATCAGACGCAGAGGGGGATTGTATGTTTATTGGCCATCAAGGTAGAAGTAAATATATTATTGTATTGTGCCCTCCTTTTATTCAATCAATCAATCAATCTTTATTTCATACACATATAGGCCATACACCTATAGTAATATATACATACAGTAGCAATGGGTGCAATAGGAATTACATATATCGTAACTGAAAATCACATATATAATGCAGAGGATCTGATGTTAATTGCATGGTATATATACGAGATATTTTGTGACTGTTTTATTTTGAGATGACATGAGGATATAAAATTTGTGTATTCTAGGACTCTGATAAAAATATGTATGTTTGTATTCTTTTTGATATTTGCATACAATGGACAGACTAGCAAAAAATTGTATTCATCTTCTATCTCATGGCAAGTACAATATTTTCACAATCTGTTTTCCCTTGGTATCGCTAAATGTCTACCTTTTTCTATTAGAAGGTCATGAGAACTACATCTGAAACGGTATAGTGCTGTTCGGAATTTCTTAAAATTTATTTTCAAAAGATATTTTTCAGTAAGAACGAATGATTTAAAACAGATGTAATGATTTAAGTTACTGTGCCCTTTTCTATGAGTGTGTGTGAGTTGGGTTTTAACGCCGCTTTTAACAGTATTCCAGTTATATCACGGCGTGTCAGCTTAATGTAGGAGGAAAGCCCCCAGTGATGCAGGTCTGAGACGTTTACCACTTCGGTGAAACCCACGAGCACGGGTATGGTGCTGACAAACCTAGAAACATAATCGGGGCGAACCGTGATTCGAACCAACAATCAGGTTTCTGGCGTGCCCAAGGGACGCAACTCTGCACAGGAAATCGCGGCGCCTTAGACGACTAGGCCACTCCCAAGATTGATTATGAAACGTCTGTATCTGAAGAAGTTGTAAAAATTGCAAAAAGTAAAGAGTGTAAATTATTTTTGTAAAACAGTTGCTGTAGATGTTGTATATCTGCCTGGATACCGAACAATAGGTATGACGTCATCCACTTCTGGGACGCTACCCCTCGCGTCTAAACGCTTCTTCACCAGAAAATTCCGGCGGAAGCGATGACGTCATTACTTCCGTTTTCTATTTTTAGACAGCTATAAAAGTAAACTATATAGAGGATATTTAATGTGTTTTCTCAAATACCACTTTTATCTCATCGAGTGAAGTGGGGAGAGTCTAATATTTTCACGAGTGACGCAGTCACGAGTGAAAATATTAGACTCTCCCCATTTCACGAATTTTCTATTTATTTA